AGTTTTCTTACTTATAACATGACGGATCAATTACGGTAACGTTGCGCTAATCTAAATTATATACTGTATCATCTCATGAAACAATGAATGATGATTGCAGCAATCAATGCGCATATACTGGGAATATGATGGGAATATGATGGGAATACGATGGGGATATGATGGGAATATGATGGGAATAGAATGGGAATATAATGGGAATATGATGGGAATGTGATGGGAATATGATATAGTGTGCTTGGAAGAATGTCATAAACCACCCATGACTGGGAATGGTAAACATACCACCTATAAAAATGGTGATGACTGGGGGATGGGCTATCATTGTTTTCACCACATTAACCAAGCAGTAATGGATTTGGGTGTCTCAGTAGACCTTATACCTTATAACGGTTATGAATTTCAGCGGCAATTTCCCATGGAGAAAAGGGTCAGTTCAAAGAGCAGCACCCAGTTGAACTCGATATGAACAAATTAGTCTTCTTTAGATCATTTCCAAGGAAACCATGATTTTTCTATATCTATAATTTATACAATTATATATGTATATATATATTTACATACTGGAAGGTATCCAGAATGTATATATTATATAATGATGGCATATCAGACATGATCAACAAGCCCGGAAATGATGCTTCTATATAGAATTCGGTTCCTGTGGAAACTCCCATTTTGCAGCCACCAGTCTCCGCAGGTTCTTAACCTCGTGGATGCCTTTCTAGCCCTGTATTCCTTTATCTACGTCTATGTTTTGGTGCCGCTGCTGGGGGGTTGGGAACACCGGAAAACTCGCGAGAGAAAACAATGTTGGGGAAGTGTTGCATCTTCGTGGTGGATCATCGTCCTTGTTTCTTGACCTATCTTTTAAACGATAATTTGGTCTATCCATAGATAATTAAGTCAACGTCTATCCCTGAATTAGCGAGGCAGAATTTTGAAATTCAGATAAATCAAGGGGATTGACATATATTTGTATATATACAGTATCCAACCGGCCCTTGACCGCTAACTCCGGCTGGAAAGCGCGGTTTTTGACGATGGTTTGAGGCCTATGATTTTTTGGCGAGTTCCTGAGGCTTTTCCTTACCTATAAGGACCATATTTTGTGGGGATATTTCCTTACATATCATATAAGACCATATTTTGTGGTGATATTTCCTTACATATAAGGACCATATTTTTTTGGTTTTTTTCCTTACATATAAGGACCATATTTTGTGGGGATATTTCCTTACATATAAGACAATATTTTGTGGGGATATTTCCTTACATATAAGGACCATATTTTATGGGGATATTTCCTTACATATAAGACCATATTTTGTGGGGATATTTCCTTACATATAAGACCATATATTATGGGGATATTTCCTCACATATAAGGACCATATTTTATGGGGATATTTCCTTACTGTACATATAAGGACTATATTTTATGGTGATATTTCCTTACATATAAGACCATATTTTATGGGGATATTTCCTTACATATAAAACCATATTCTATGGGGATATTTCCTTACATAGGCCTGAAAAATAGTCCTTATATTTGAATGTAACAATCCACAATCTTCCTCATTTTCGAGTTAGCTCAAAACATGTAGCTGGGTCAATTTCAGAAGGGGTCATGTGTTTGACTTTAATGTTGTGCCGCTGTCTAAGCAGATTTTGCCCAAAACGTGGCTCATAAATTTTTGGGCTGGAACAGGGGGACCCATCTCTATTAAACGAATCATTTGGGACTGAACCTGGAAATTGAACACATTGGGAAGAATTTGCGGGCTCGCTCAAGTGGAACGAGCTACCTCAGCAACAACGCGCTAGCTCAAACACATCGCTCTAGCTCGATGGCATCGAGCTGGCTCAATTTTTTTGACCGAAAAATGAAACTCGAAAAAATTGAGCCAGCTACGTCACGTTGAGCTGGCGAACGAATGTGAAAGCCAAAAAACGAATACATAATATGTATTGGCCGGGATGATGACGGCATACCGAGCTGGCTCAAGGGCATGTAGCTGGCTCAATTTTTTCAGTTTTTTTTTCGTTTTTCTTCTTTCAAAAAAATTGAGCCAGCTACGAGGCGCTGAGCCAGCAACGAGGCATTGAGCCAGCTATTTGGCACTGAGCCAGCAACGAGGGAATGGTGAATGTGTACTGTACGGGACCGATGTATTTTCCGATGCAGCCTTTGCAATGCCAACAAATCAAATTGTTGATTAATTCTGGCACAATATGAGATAAAATAGAAGACTGGCAGTCTATACATATGTATACATATATAACCCCAACCGTACAATTATGATCAATTATGGTCAATCTGAAGCAACACCAGTTTTCTTGAGGGAGACGCGTGCCCTTGAGCTGGAGGGAGATTGGGAAAAGTAACTTTCGATATATATGGTAGGTACCTCCAATTTAGGTTCCTGATATGGCCATTGCGTTGTGGATAAAACTAGACGTAGGGCGGATGCACTACTTGGACCCCAGTATCTGAATCCAGCCATAGCACGCCATTGCGAATGCACCATGGCAATTAGCCAACAGGAAATTCGAGCCGCTAGACACTGGCTTCTTCAGCAACCACAAGACAACCGTGAGATTGTTATTTCATGTCGTTTCTTGTTTCCAAGAGAGAATCCATCCGGTCAAACATCCATTTAGTTCGGGGGAGGGTACACATGGTAATGAACCAGTTGATTTAGGGCTACCTCATTTTCAGACCCACATAAATGGGATTTGTACACGCATATCAATTTTATTTTTACAACGTTTATTAATGTAAATGGGAATTATATTATCACTAGCACATGAAAAACATGTTTAAGTTGATATATCCAACTATATTTACAGAATGTCATGATATTATGTGCATATGGCTGTTATTAATCCCTATTAATCCACTTCTCAACAAAGTATTGATCCACTTAGGCAGATAATGTAAAATATGTATATAATACTTGGTTCATTACACCACTTACAGTACCCTCTGGTAAACTAACACTTTGCTATGGAAATCATATGAAATCATCAGTTCTAATAAATCAGGGAACTAAATGGTCATTTTAACTAGTCAATAGTTATGCAACAAATTACCAGGGGGTATATTACTGGTATAATTATTAGCCCAATATTAGCCATTCTTAACCTTATTAAGCCATTAACAAAATATGACGTTGGAACCGTTGCTTCAAAACATTTCCAGCTGCTTCCGCAGATGGTTCTCCTGCAATCCGTGAACCTGCAGCTTTTACGACTCTTGCGGTTGGTGAACTTGGCTGCCTTAACGAAAAATGCTGGGGATTCATAGCGGAAATATGGTGGAAATAATGGTGGTGCATAATAATGGAACATGGTGGTAATTTTGGGACAGTGAGGAGATATAGTGGACATAACCATAAACAGTATAAATGTACCAGGATATCCAGCTAAAAAATAGCCGTATTGGGATATGATAATATATATATAGATATACACATATAATTGGGATACAATTTCGATATCATGGTATACAATGGTATATATCGAAATCTTCATTACTATTTTGATTAATTCCAATGAACTCACGTCGTGACGTTACTGGAATGATGCTGAATGTATAGGGGAATCATCCCCAAATGGCCGCAAGTTTTAGCAGCTATTTTCAGATTGATGAATTAATTATTTGATTCAGCCAGGAATGATGACAGGTTGGTGGTTTGGAACATGAATTTTATTTTTCCATATCTTAATCATCCCAAGTGACTTTCATATTTTTCAGAGGGGTAGGTATACCACCAACCAGATCAAGATCCTACATATCTGGCAGTTTTTGCTGTCCCCTAGCAGATTTTTGAGGTACCCCCCGTGCCGGCTTCGAATCAGGGAAGCTTCTGCATGGGATCCCAAAAAACGGGGTAGCTGTAGGTGGAGGATCATCTCACTTAGTCTCTGATTAGTAACGATAGTTATAACATGTTATGACATTAAGTAGTTAGTAAATGGAGTTATCACCTAGTTATAAGTTAGTTATATATATATGAGATAACCCACTTATGGGACCTAGGGTCACTAACCACTTGCGATCTGTGGGATGATCCTCCAATCCTGAGGGAAACGCATCGCTTTCTGCTTTCAAACACATGGGTATAGGTCAAAATTGAGTAGCCCAATCATTAGATGAATACTAACCATCAATCCATTTCAATTTGTGGTCCCTTCTTCAATTTTGACTCCCTGTTTTCCCTAATGGAGTGATGATCCTCAAGGTGGTTGATGGGTGTAATGAGGTGAAACCCGCGGGCTTTCATTTTCGATTAGGTTTTAGTTTCCGATTGGTTTGACCTTCGTGACACCAAATTCTGAGCTTAAGATGGACCAGACGCGAAGCTTACAGCACTGCCGACTGCACCTTTTCAGGGAACTGGTGCCGGACGCTGTGATCGCCGGCCAAATACTGGCGGGCCCGTGCACATGGTGCACTGAAACACAGGCCGCAGGAGAAGATCATGTACGATTTTTTTTGATCCTTATAATTATTAAAATAATGATATAATTTATATATATTTATATGATATACTGTAATTATATATATACACGTTTTTTTTGAGGTCTTCCAAACTTATTTTTGGATCCGTGTCTATTTTTTGGGGGAGCGGGAGCGGCTTTTATGATCCATCGCTTCAACCAGTCTCCCGAACCGGCAGTAAACGGGGGGTATACAACTTGAACTACGGAATTCCAAATCATTTTCAGATACCACGCTTAAAGAGGTCGAATATATGTCATTAATTGTCATGATATCCCCATAAAATCCAACATTTACGGTTGGTTGTATCCATCAACTTATAGATATAACTTCATATAACATCTATTACATCCGTCAAGATCCAATAGCATCCACTGACTATAGATATAACATAGATATAATATAACATACATATGACATCTTAAAATATAACACAGTTGTAACATGGATTAACAGGTGATTAAGATATATTGGCATAGATTTAACAACATTTGAAATAGATTGACATCCATTACAATACATTCCATGGGCTCCCTTCGTCCAAGGCCAAGTTGGTTCGGGCCATTCGCATCATGCGCACCTTGAGGCTTTTCCGAGGCGGGTGGTTGCTCGTTGCCCGTGTGAGCTGGGGGCCGTGATGCAAAATGGGAGTGCAACATGGGATTTGAATGGATTTCAGTAGGAGTTTAACGGATTTTAGTGAAGTTGAATGGAATTTTATTGGGTTTTAGCATTGTTGAATGAGAGTTGAATGAGAGTTTTAATGGCAGTTTCATGGCATCTTAATGGGATTTAATATGGGAAACCCACAGTCAGAATCCATATGTGCCATGGTCAACTTAGTCGGATTGTAAACCCATATCGGGCAGCCTGGTCTGCCGCACCGTTCAAACGAAATTACCATCATGGCCGCTAATGTCAACCCTGGATCAATAAACCCCAGAAACTGGCTGTTTAATTGGGGGGCTACCATTTAAGCATCAGATGAAATGACTAAGTGACTATTGGAGGAGTACCCCCTAATTGTCATAAACTTAATAAACCATGGCTTAGTCTCATCCGGGGTTGACATTCTAAGGATTCCCAATCATTCGGCGGGATGACCATCACCAACTGGGATGCACGTCCCCACTGGACACCTGGTAATCATGCTCCGATGAATGGTTTGAAACCCTTCAAGTTGAAAGCCAAGATGATTTGGCTTCGAAATTATGAATTAGATTGAATTAGGGTATCCTGGTATCCCAATTTTTGATGGTAAAAAAATGTTGTATTGAATGGTAAGTCCCATTTCCAGACATAGCCACTGCTTCGTTCAGGTCTACGTCTGTTGGTCCATGCCTGTCTCTTGGCCAACGACTTTAACATCGAAACATATCTATAGCTGTCTGGGGGGTTTTGAAATGGTGGTATAATGGGATTATAGTGGGGAAATATAGTGAACATAACCACCAAAAGTTTGGAGATAATGGGATGTTAATGGAAAATCCCCGAACTTATGGAGGCTTCTAGCTGAAAAAAACATCGATCTAGATGTAGGGTATAGCTATAGTCTTGGATTTGCGCTGGCAGTCGATGATTTCATGATTTTCTCAACGGGAAATCCACCTTTTTTATTTAGGGAATCTATACTGCATATGTTATGTGATTGTTTTGTGGGTCCGGAAGCAAATCCGTGGGAAGAAATCACCCAAAATTGGGATGGAATTTTCCGAGGAAATTCCAAAACCCTGGGGAGATCTATAGTTTCTTTTCTTTGTGTGGCCCCGAAAGAAGCAAGTCTAAGTATGGATTAGCCATTCTTTGGGGGGTGAGTTTAATGATGTGTGCATCCCCAACCTTGGAAGTGTAGTTTGATCCTTTGTTTTGTTTTGCTATTTTTAGGGATTAAAATAACCATAAACAGCAAAATATTACTTTAAGTTTTCGTGGACTACCAAAGATTGATCATGTGTGATGATGACCCACTTCGGACTGCGGTATTTAACCCACTTCCGGGGACTCCACGACCCGGGTCATTGACCACAACTGGAATGATCCAAAAAAAGTGCCTGGCTGTCAACCTGCTCCGGATCCCCTACATTTTCTTACCAACTAACCATGAAAAATGGTGGTAGAATGGGATGAAAGTAGGAATGTATAGTGGAAATAACCATCAAAAGCAGATATACTGGGATTTGCGCTTTGTCGAACATTTTTTTATTAATGGGAAATCCACTACTTGGGGAATCTATAGGGAACATTTTTGTTTTCTATGTTTTCCTTAGTCAAATCCATGTATAACTTGAGGATGTTTCTTTTGATAGGAATGATTATCATGCAGAATATCACATGAAAACATCTAAAGAGGACATCGATATCCATTTGGCCCATTTGCCAAGATAGAAACATATCAATTACCGTCTGGTAAACTAGCATAGCAATGGAAAATCACAATCTTGAATAGGTAAATCAACTATAAAGGTTCCATGTTCAATAGCTATTTTGACAAATTACCAGAAGGTATATGATATAACTATAGTAATATATATATATATATATATATGTAGCTGTAATGCAAATAACTATATCATATATCTGCAATGGCATCATTCCCATGTTTGCACCTTCTCGTTGTCCCATTCTTCATGGAGAATTGCTCCGTGAGGTGCATCTTTCCTGCCGTCCCTCATGTGGTCCATGGCATTGTTCCCTGGCCACATGTTGACCTACGTTGGATGGTGCCCAGTGATGTGAACGTTGGTTTATAAAGCCCATTGACTATCTGGTTGGTGGTTTAGAACATTTTTAATTTCCATGTCATATATGGGATGTCATCCTTCCCATTGACTCATATTTTTCGAGATGGTTAAAACCACCAACCAGCTATAATTATCTAGTTCGTTATATCTACCATAAACAATAGTTCATCCAGCCACAGCCATATACCAACTGAACGCACGCTATTGTTTACGGGGGCCTCCTGAATCACCCCCAGTCTACTTCTGGCCCCAACAGGATGTACCTCGGTCGCGGGTCGTTACCTTTTAGGATGATTCTTTTGTTTTTTGTTGCCATGTAAAATCTCAGGTGGTAAGAATTCTAATGTGATATATTCTGATTCCACAGAAATAGATAGCCAAATGATCCAAGCAATCCATAGCAATCCTCGATGTGTGCTTCTTTACTTGAGAAAATTTGGAGTTACTGGTTGGTGGTTTGGAACATGCATTTTTTATGACTTTCCATCTATTGGGAACAATCATCCCAACTGACTAATATTTTTCAGAGGGGTTGAAACCACCAACCAGATTTAAGTTTGTCTTATATAAATTAGGCTGCAGTATATACCCCAAATGTTGATGCTTGATCACTATTTTTCAAGTAAATATGCTGTTTTACAGATGCCCCATTGTTGGACAGACCCACATGCTGGACCATGCATCTGTGCGTTTTAAAGTTTTTTAGGGAAAAATTGGTCAATAACACAGTTCACATATCCCATGAAAAGTAATGAACTTTGAGCAGAGCATCCAGTAGAATATACAGGATATGAACCAAAAGGAATGGTTTGATGAAAGCCCAGAAGTTGATACTACCAAAAAATATTGGGAGATTCTCGAATCAATTCACCAAGTGTACTTGGTAGTTCATATCCCCGATTTTGTGGGATGAGTATAGAGTTAATCCACAAGGAAAAATCTGAGGTGAACTAAGCTCGTGGGACACACATTTCACCATAGTTGTGGGGGCCCCATATCCCAACAAGAATGGAGGCTATTCCATAGTATTACATAGTTACACCCATGAAAATTAGCCCTGGGCTGCACCCCACTTGTTTTGTGAGTCACCAAAGTTACCCTCTGGTAATTTAACATAGCTATTGAAAATGGTGAGATTTATAGTGGAATTTACCCATTAAACATGGTGATTTTTTATGGATTTTTGTATGTTTACCCATGACATGAGCCACCTGAAACCACCTGACACGGTTTTTTTTTTCAGCCAGCCGGCTGCGAACCGTCGTCCGAAGCCGAGGCTAAGTCTTTGCATCATGACCTCAGGCGAGCGGAGGATGCGGATGGACTCATACAGAGCGGGGGGGCCCCGTGAAATCGAAATCGCGTTCAGTTGGGGTTGACATAACTCCAATGGGACATGTTAGGAATTCACATTTCATGTTAGGAATAAATAACCATCCTTAGTTCCTCCATTCCTCCACGATATCTTCGTGTGGGAAGAAGCGGTGGTGCAAGAAGCGCTAAATAAGCTGCTTATATATAAATATATATATATAGAGGACTTAGTAAGCAGGGTTATTCACCACTCACGATCCGTGGGATGCTCCTCCATGTGTTTCCCACAAATTCCAACAGAGACTTTGTTTGTTTTTCTGGTTGGTGGTTTCAAACATTTTTTATTTTCCATAATATATGGGAGAATCCTTCCCATTGACTAATATTTTTCAAGATGGTTAAAACCACCAACCAGTTTTGTTGGTGAAAGTAATCATTTATTTGTACAACCCCTAAAGCAGTAAAACCAACTTAGCAGGGGAGCTGGGAATAGTAATTATAGGGGGTTGTACTATATACTTGTTTTTTTTGGAACCACTATAGTCCACAAAAGTGATACAGTAGTGATACCCCCGAGTTATTTTTGTTAGCTTAAAAACCCCATGAACTAGTTCGTTATATCTACCATAAACCAAAATAATTCAGCCACAGCCATATACCAACTTAGCACGCTATCGTTTACGGGGACCCCATGCTGTGCTCTGAACTGCTCGGGCTGATGTGAGCCGGAAAGTGCCTCGGTTGTGCACGCGAAAACCGACTCGGTTGTGCACACCAAAACAACTGCACGAGGATGACGATGATGATGATAATGATGATGATGGTGGTGGTGGTGATGATGATGATGGTCATGGTGATGGTGATGATGATGATGATGGTGATTATGATGGTGATGGTGATGGTGATGATGATGATGATTATCAGGAAGATGATGGCGATGATGCTTATAATGATGATGATGATGATGATGGTGATGATGATGATGATGATGATAGTGACAATGTTGATGACGAATTTGATGATGATGATGATGGTGGTGGTGGTGGTGATGATGTTGTTGATGATAATGGTGTTGATGGTGATGATGATGAGGACGACGGTGGTGCTTATGATGTTCACTTTGATTTTGATGATGATGATGATGATTATGATGAAGGTGATGATGATGATGATGGTGATGATGACGAAGACGACAACGACGATGACGACGACGACGACGGCGGCGACGACGACGACGACGATGACGACGATGACGACGATGACGTTGACGATGACGACGATGACGTTGACGATGACGACGACGATGACGACGACGACGGTGATGATGATGATGACGATGATGATGATGGTGGCGATGAGGACGATGATGATGATGATGGTGATGATGATGATGTTAATGATGATGCTTATTATTTTTGGTTTTATGATAATGGTAAGCCCCAAGGTTGAAGTGTGATGGTAAGTCGAAGGAAGTCGAGTAGCGTGGCTAGTAGATCCTACCCTTTTCTTCCCTATCCCCACCCCACCCCCCAAGGTTGTGTGTACAAGTGAGTCAAGTTTGTGTGTACAATTGAGTCAAACATCTGTGTGTACAACTGAGTCAGTTTTGTGTGCGGTCGCTGACCATGCGGGCCTCGACAATCTAAGACGAGCGCTGGAACATTTGCTTGCACAAAACCTGGTGAATTTCTAGTGAAAACGATGTATATATATATATTTTTTTTTAATGTAACATTTTGTGATTTTCACCAGATTTTGCTTGCGAATTTTCCAATCAATCAATATATATATATATACAAATGTCGCTTGCAGTATCAAGCTACACAATCATCGTAGATGGTGTTCTGGTGAAATATGGTAATTTCCGATTAACATGTTTGATTCCCAGAGGGTAAGCCAGAATTCTTCATCAACTAATCAACGTGGTTAATTACCCGATGTTACCCATATGAGATCGAGTGGTCAGCTTGATCATCCAGATATCAATTGTTCATGGACGTTTTAAGGGATTTAGGGTCTATTTATAGTTTATTTAGGGCTGGCTACGATGTGTTACGATTAATTAACCTAAGAATACTTACAAGGTTTATTTAGTGTTGGGTCAATGTTGGGTTTTTCAGTTTTACAATTTCTTACAGTGAAACACTTCAAATTGCGGAGGCAATGTTAAAAGGGCGAATTTGACACCGCCTTAAGTATGCGCAAAATGCAACGAGACGGAGGCAATATCAACATTCTTCATGTTCGCAGTTTGCGAAAAACACGTGACACAGCAAAACATAGATTGGAGTCCCGCATGGATTTCCGTCATCTAAAAAGTAATGTAACGCAAAGTATGTATATACATACAATGTGGTTTAATATTCCATAGTTATTGGAGTTATTAACCAACTTAGCTATCTAGGGGGCCCCACATTGTATAATATCATGTCGATATTAAAATAATTCTGTTTTAACTACACGTACAAGTGCTAGCGTTAACTCGTATCAGCTCCTAAAAGTCGTATCGGGAGGGCGTGCGCCTGGAAAAAGTTCAATTTTGGCGTCACCCCAACTTTTAGTATTTGAACGATTTCAATATAATATACACACATACTATATATTTTACACTATATATGTGTATAAATACAAATACACACAATATCTAAAATATAATATTTTAAAGCATTATATATTTGAATGTTTTATTACATTTTATTTTTTAGATACTGTTATTAACTGTAATACAATATTACTTTATATTAAATATTTTAAGTTACTTTACTAAAATAGAATATGCTATTTATATATATATATATTTAAATGATATAATATACTATACTATGATTTAATATTGTGTAATAGAATGGATAAGAATACAATGTATATGACATGATATAGTAATATATAGATATATATATATATTTATACGACCCAGCCTTTGTAACCCCTCCCAAAATGGTGATTTCCTCACTATGGTGCGCGGGTCTATGTTGCATCTCTTCTTTGGGAATCTTCCGAAAAGTAATTGGGAATGCTATTGAAGAAAACATACATGCTATCTAGGCAATCTACTTGGGCACACATATATATATATATAACATGTATATATGAATGATTATGTATGTATCCCTGGAGATCTCCCAGCACTCTTTGGGATCATGTTCCTCAGTGACCCGTGCAGGGCTGGTGATTGGCAACTTGCTCCATGAGTTTATCATGGACGAGACAAAGGTGGGATGGACAAACCCGGATCCGGAAGTCTCATGATGGTTCTGGTTGGTTAATAGATGACTAGTATGTTTAACACCGTCATCATAGCTCTGATCCCCGGCATTTCTCCTGTAAATTCTCGAAAAAAATTGCTCTTGTGAGATGCCCATGTGCATTTCGACTGCGCAGGCTCCCGCAACCTTTGCGCCGCGGGGTTCTCGAGCTCTGGGTCTGTGGCATTTTCCTTCCAAGTTCTCGCATAAACGGGCTCTTGTGGAGATCGTGCTCAGTTCCTCTCTCAGAGGTCCTTGCGTGATCCTCTCCAGGTCCTCAACAGAAGATCTTGTGGAGATCCTGGTGGGATCCTCTCTGGGAGGTCATTGCATGAGGAGCTTGCAGATGCCATGTCTTAGAGGTGCTTGTAAGAAAGCTCTTGTAAGATCCGCTCCAGCAGCAGCAGGTCCTTCTATGAGGATCTTGTAAGATTTTCTTAGGGGCCCTGGCATGAAGATCTTGTTCAAGGCCTTTTACAAGTCCCTGTGCGAAGATCTTGTGGAGATCCTAGTGAAACGCTGTCAGAGGCCTTTGCATGATCTTGTACAGGTCCTCGTGAGAAGCTCTTGAAGAGGTCCTGGTGAAATCCACCCGGTGTCCTTGCATGATCTGGTACAGGTCCCAGAAGATCTTGTGGAGATCCTGCTGAAATCCTCCTCAAAAGGTCCTTGCATTAAGATATTGAAGATCCTTTGCCTTGGTGCTTGTATGATAGTTCTTCTGGGATGCTCATAGACAACTCTTGTATGAAGATCTTGTGAGCTGCTCTATATATATAAAAATATGTATATAGAAGGTCCTGCTGCTGCAGTTGGGATCATGTCTAACCTCACCTGTTGCTCTTCCATAGCTGCTGTTGCTTGTATCTGATACAGTGACCTCCTACCCCCTACACTGTTTGAAGTCTCTTGCCGGTGTATTTTTTTTTGGTAGAGTGCTCTCTCTTTCTCTCTCTCTCTCTATATATACATATATATATATATACATATATATATACATACATACATACATATGTATATTTATATACACATCAATATTTATATTTATATATATATATAGAGAGAGAGAGAAAGAGAGTGTTCTAACATATCATCATAGATTCATAGATGGTTAGCGTATGTTCTAGTTTATTAGTGAACATTGCCAGATTATAACAACGGCTTTCCAGAACGTAGGTCCAGCCCAGGGATCCCAGCCACTGAAAATGCCGTTGGAGCCATCTGCAAAATCACGTGTGGACCGTTCGAGTTTTTCAAGCTCTCCAAAGGTGACACCTCCACTAATAATAGATAGATAGATAGATAGATAGATAGATAGATAGATAGATAGATAGATAGACAGATAGATAGATAGATAGATAGATAGAGAGAGAGAGATAGAGAGATAGATAGATAGATAGATAGAAAGATAGATAGATAGATAGATAGAGAGATAGAGAGATAGAGAGATAGAGAGATAGAGAGATAGAGAGATAGAGAGATAGAGAGATAGATAGATAGATAGATAGATAGAGAGATAGAGAGATAGAGAGATAGAGATAGAGAGATAGATAGATAGATAGGTAGATAGATAGATAGATAGATAGATAGATAGATTGATTGATTGATTGATAGATGGTTAGATAGATGGATAGATAGATAGATAGATAGATGGATATATAGATAGATAGATAGATAGATAGATAGATAGATAGATAGATAGATAGATAGATAGATAGATAGATTAAAAGTGTCCTTATATGTGGTCGTTGGCGGTTCAGACTCGCCCTTATTGACTATTTGTCGTAAATCACACATATATATGTTCACGTTTTGTTTTTTTGATCATATCCCCATTGTATCCCATCAAACCCCCAATAAGTACCATGTATGGTTGGTTACATGCGGTTACCATCCTTGAAGTAAAGGTTTGATATAGTTTAACACCCATTAATCATTAGCATCAAATAAATAAACGCCACTAATTGTGGGACTGAGCTGTTGTATGGATGGGACGCTGTTCACCAATAATGCCCGCGCTCATTGGCAGGAAGGTGTTTCTGATCGGTGTCCTTGGTGTGGTGCTGCGGATGGGAACTATCACCGTGCCTGGGAGTGTCCTGGGTTTGCTGATTGTCGTGCTTCTGTGCCTGATTGGATTTTGAGGTATGTCACTTCTTTGCCTAGTTCCTTTAGTGCGCATGCTTGGCCTCCTCTTCCTTCTGCTTGGCTCTCTCATGGTCGGACGTTGGCTTCTTTGTCTGATGGGCTGGTGAAGACTGTTGGCGGTGTGATTGATGGGGCCGGATCTTGTGACCTGTTCACGGACGGGGCTTGCTTACTGCCACATGAGCCTCCGTTGCGACTGGCGGCTTGGGCAGTTACGATTGGGCGACTGGATTGGAACACTTTGGATCATCATGTTCTGGCTGCTGGACCTTTACCAGGGTTGCATCAGACAGCTTTTCGCGCCGAGCTCTATGCCGTGGCAGTCGCCCTTGAATGGGCTTCCACTCAGGCTTGTGAGATGCGAATTTGGTCTGATTGCCAAGCAGTTGTGGATGGGGTCCGCCGCGTCCAAGCTGGGTTGTATCACTTTCAGGCGAACGGGTCGCATGCTGATTTGTGGCTTCGAGTGAGCAAAGCTTTGAAGCGGGTCACCAGTAAGGTTACGATTTTGAAGGTTGCTGCACACCAAACCATTGTTGCTGATCTCCCCCCTTTGGAGACATGGGCCTTTTGGCAGAACAAGTTGGTTGATGCGGCTGCACGGAAAGCGAACATGCAGCGCTCTGACCAATTCTGGGATGGGTGGAAGCAACTGGCCCTTCAGCTCGCTGAAACACGGCAGATTTATCAGGCAGTGGTGCAGGTTCACATTCGAGTTGGCAAGAAGGCCGCTAGTACCTCCAACCCGCCAGATACTGTTGCTGGTGGCTTGATCAGTGAGGGTACCAGACGGGTGGCGCGACGATTTCCCAATACGGTGCAGTTGCCTCTGGAGCTGACGGTGGTTCCAACGCTGACCCACAGGTATCGCCGTTCCAATTTGGAGGCTGTGCATGCATGGTGGCTGCGCTGGGGCGATTCATCTTTGCGTCGGTCTGAATCAGTTGAGTGGGTGCCATTCCTCTACCTTGCTTTAGATTATATGCTGAATGAGCCAAGAATCAGACCATTGGCGCACAGGCGGCAATGGGCAGATGGAGTGGATCGGCCCTGGCCTTTCCAGCCCGCTATGGTGGAACTCTCCAGGTCCTTTCAATGTATCTTGAAAGCCTACTGGAAGTCAAACAGGTTTCTATCTGCAGTGAGGTTACGAGAAGTGTGGTTCCTGGATGTGACTGCTGGCTGCTGTGTGCTCAAGCCGCGTGGCCTTCGGATCGTCTGGATATGGTTTGTGAACTTATTCGCGGCCAGCTAGGCCATGGTATTCGAACACCTGGAGATGTCAAGTTGGTTGTTGATCCATCTCTTGCCTTCAAGTAGCTGCTAGCTCATTCGATTTTGTCTAGTGAGCCGCGACATGACGAAAATTGACGAAAATTGATCATATCCCCATTGTATCCCATCAAACCCCAATAAGTACCATGTATGGTTGGTTACATGCGGTTACCATCCTTGAAGTAAAGGTTTGATATAGGTTAACACCCATTAATCATTAGCATCAAATAAATAAACGCCACTAATTGTGGGACTGAGCTGTTGTATGGATGGGACGCTGTTCACCAACAATGCCCGCGCTCATTGGCAGGAAGGTGTTTCTGATCGGTGTCCTTGGTGTGGTGCTGCGGATGGGAACTATCACCGTGCCTGGGAGTGTCCTGGGTTTGCTGATTGTCGTGCTTCTGTGCCTGATTGGATTTTGAGGTATGTCACTTCTTTGCCTAGTTCCTTTAGTGCGCATGCTTGGCCTCCTCTTCCTTCTGCTTGGCTCTCTCATGGTCGGACGTTGGCTTCTTTGTCTGATGGGCTGGTGAAGACTGTTGGCGGTGTGATTGATGGGGCCGGATCTTGTGACCTGTTCACGGACGGGGCTTGCTTACTGCCACATGAGCCTCCGTTGCGACTGGCGGCTTGGGCAGTTACGATTGGGCGACTGGATTGGAACACTTTGGATCATCATGTTCTGGCTGCTGGACCTTTACCAGGGTTGCATCAGACAGCTTTTCGCGCCGAGCTCTATGCCGTGGCAGTCGCCCTTGAATGGGCTTCCACTCAGGCTTGTGAGATGCGAATTTGGTCTGATTGCCAAGCAGTTGTGGATGGGGTCCGCCGCGTCCAAGCTGGGTTGTATCACTTTCAGGCGAACGGGTCGCATGCTGATTTGTGGCTTCGAGTGAGCAAAGCTTTGAAGCGGGTCACCAGTAAGGTTACGATTTTGAAGGTTGCTGCACACCAAACCATTGTTGCTGATCTCCCCCCTTTGGAGACATGGGCCTTTTGGCAGAACAAGTTGGTTGATGCGGCTGCACGGAAAGCGAACATGCAGCGCTCTGACCAATTCTGGGATGGGTGGAAGCAACTGGCCCTTCAGCTCGCTGAAACACGGCAGATTTATCAGGCAGTGGTGCAGGTTCACATTCGAGTTGGCAAGAAGGCCGCTAGTACCTCCAACCCGCCAGATACTGTTGCTGGTGGCTTGATCAGTGAGGGTACCAGACGGGTGGCGCGACGATTTCCCAATACGGTGCAGTTGCCTCTGGAGCTGACGGTGGTTCCAACGCTGACCCACAGGTATCGCCGTTCCAATTTGGAGGCTGTGCATGCATGGTGGCTGCGCTGGGGCGATTCATCTTTGCGTCGGTCTGAATCAGTTGAGTGGGTGCCATTCCTCTACCTTGCTTTAGATTATATGCTGAATGAGCCAAGAATCAGACCATTGGCGCACAGGCGGCAATGGGCAGATGGAGTGGATCGGCCCTGGCCTTTCCAGCCCGCTATGGTGGAACTCTCCAGGTCCTTTCAATGTATCTTGAAAGCCTACTGGAAGTCAAACGGGTTTCTATCTGCAGTGAGGTTACGAGAAGTGTGGTTCCTGGATGTGACTGCTGGCTGCTGTGTGCTCAAGCCGCGTGGCCTTCGGATCGTCTGGATATGGTTTGTGAACTTATTCGCGGCCAGCTAGGCCATGGTATTCGAACACCTGGAGATGTCAAGTTGGTTGTTGATCCATCTCTTGCCTTCAAGTAGCTGCTAGCTCATTCGATTTTGTCTAGTGAGCCGCGACATGACGAAAATTGACGAAAATTGATCATATCCCCATTGTAAACCATCAAATCCCCAATAAGTACCATGTATGGTTGGTTCCATGCGGTTACCATCCATGAAGTAAAGGTTTGATATAGTTTAACACCCATTAGCATCAAATAAATAAACGCCACTAATTGTGGGTATAACATAACATACAGCACAGCTTAACATCCATTCACTATATGAACCATTGAAGTATCTATGGTTGCGTTCACCCCTTTCTAAACGGGATGACCTTCCAAGTTTACCATTAACTCATCCATCATCAACCATTACTAGCAATCATGCACCATTATGAACCCTTATCAATCATTACTGTATATATATATATTTATATTTATATTTATATCCTATGGTGCAGCCTTTGAAGCACTGAAAAAACGTAAAAGTTCATCCAATAATCCAATAATCATCCAAACCAAAAAAACCCAACATGTTACCATGAATTAGAATCATTAAGTCTTATTAATCATCATCAACCAAAAAATGTTTATAGTATTTTCATACTAACCTCCATTGATATTTATTAATTAATCGGATTATTCTATTCCATCACAGTATCATTAACCAAAAATAATTCCAGGAACCCGCCAATGTCTGCAGGAGATGGAGCAACGAATCTGGGTCTGGATGCACTACGGGACCGCCTATCGAGCCTCGACCGCCTCAACCTGGAAAAAACCGTTGAGTAGTCAGAGGGCTAGTTATTTGGTGGTTCATCCCACATACTTATGTTAGTTCACCCTAGTTATATGTGGATGAACCCTACTTATCTAACAAACGAAAGTAACTAGCCAAAAGAGATGGGTTTTATCCATCATAATACAATGGGATCATATGGAGATATTATTGCCTGTTCCACCCCTGTTGGTTGATTATATCTGTTTTTAAATGCGGGATTTGACCATGTTTTTGTAGGGGTTTTAACCGCCAAAATGATGAGGATATGTTTCGACAATTTTAATCTGTACCATTTTGTTGGTACTGCAATCCATTATGGAAATCCCTCTTACCAACCAGTACAATGGAATGGCAGAAGGTTTGGAACACGGCTCGCTTGAAGGAAAATATGCCGGTGAAACCCAGCAAACGACCCGAAATGATGGTGCAGTTGGTTTGTGTTACCATAATAGCTACAAAGTGGGGCCCACAAGCGATAGCTAAGTTGATTTATAACTAAGTCGCCACTGGTGAGATCAAACGTGCGACCAATCTCACGCGCATTGCGCAGCGCATTGTCAGTGTTCTCTGGCGTTGGCCTGGTGGATGTTGGAAGAATGCACCAGCCGAGCTGATGATCGAGCTCCATGCGGAGCAATAAGCCAGGGATTTGCTTCCTGTGGGACAAATTCCTTGCAAGTCAAAACATGTTGGTGACTCTCAATCGTTGAAGGTCTCGTTGCCTTCAAGTTGCTTTCAATCCTGCAACTCCAAGTTTCATGGCACATTGACTGCCGCAGATTCAACATCCCGCTGTTTCATTACAATAATAGACACGAAATCAGTGCGCAGTCAGCACCATCAATGCTTCTTGACGCCAGATTAGTATGACCAAAAGTCAGAGGGCTTTGGGCTATGGATGTATCGTTTGACTTGGCCTGGATGATGGGCGGGTCGTGGGACACTGTGGGTCCTTCTGCTTGGTGCGACCGCTTCAGAATCTGCGCACCTTCTGGCGATGGTTGCCCATCACGATGCACGTTTTTTGGCGTGATGCTGGTCGTCATCACATCCTCCTTGGTATTCCTTGGTCGATTCCCTTCATCCGTCTAGCTTGCATGTCCCAGGTCGCGAATCTGAACTCTTGCTGCGTGGCTTGCGTGCTGCTGCCCCTTCTTTCAGTCCCATTAATTGTGTTCTCTGTGGGGGAACAAATTGCCTTCATACTGATCATATCTACTGGTCCTGCTCTTATAACATCGCGTCCATATGCCACTTGCCCCGGCCGGTTGACCCCATGATGGCTAGAGCAGGCTGGGGATCCAAGGGAATGATGGTGCCAATGGCATCATTTTTGGGAGAACCCTAACAGGCAAATGTGCCAGGGGGGGCCGGGGTCCCAGTGCTTATGAGAAATGATAGCGTCTTTGCAGGCCGTTCAGTGAGCTCCCACTCTTAGCGCTCTGCGCCACGCTGGACCCGAGCAGCCCTGGGCCCCGCCAGACCTGAACATTAACGCGAGCTGGCAGTGCCAGAGATGATGTCCGATACAATGCAAGAGTATATAACGTTTGCCAGGCAAAATGTTAGAATATATAATATGTATATGTAATGTAAAATACTAGATACATATGTCATAAAGAGTGTCAGAAAAGTTTGTCACATAGCATGTCAGAAAGTATGTCAGAAATAATTTCAGAAAAGTATGTCAGATAGAATGTCAGGGAGTATGCCAGATAGAAAATCAGAAAGTATATCAGATAGAATGTCAGAGAGTATGCCAGATAGAATGTCAGAGAGTATGTCAGTCAGATAGCATGCCAGGCAGTATGTCAGATAGGATGTCAGATAGAATGCCCGATAATGCCAGATTATAATGCCGGAGAGAATTCCAGAATTTATATCATTCAGAAAGTCAGATTATATGGCAAATGGAATGCCAAAACATCTGTCAGATTCAATTTCAGAAACTGTATGAGATAAAATGTCAGATAGAATTCCGATGAATGCCAGAATATAGTTTAATTATGCCGGATAAAATGCTAATAGAATGTCAGTTGGTGTGGACCACTCAATGAAAGTAGTTTTGATAGGTACTTAGTTCCATGATTAATGTTTGAATCGTCCCAAATCCATCCAAATCCCACTGCATCGGATGGTTGAGAAACGTTTGCTGTGTCCCATCTCTAACAACGAAAGGCTCATCTCTTTGGGATGGTTTCAGGCCCTAGCACCATCCAATTTTTGACCGGCTTCGATTGCATTTTCAGGAGCGATTTGGACCATGTACGAGATGACGTTCGCAGGACTGAAACCCCGTTGAGACACGGGTAAGCACGGGCAGAATCCAAAAACAATGAGGGATGTGCTTCAAACCTTGTCAAGCGGTTTTGCTTTATCTTTAAATCATATTCATATTTTCTCCATTTTGTTGTCCAGGGCTGCTCAACTGTTTTCAATCGCGCAAACCTTTCAAGTTTTAGAAGATGACATTGGAAAAATGCACGCATGGATGGTGGTTTCACTTAACCGAAAGAAGTTTTAGAAGTCAAACTTCCCACAATTTGGACAGATGAAAAGGAAGAATATCAGAGAAGAGAAAGAGTCAGAAGATGAACAATTGCACGCTGCTGTGGCGCAAAGCAGATTTGGAAGTCAAAAAGTTCAAAAACACTGCACCTCCGGAGCACTTTTGGGAGCTCAGATGTTCAAAAAGTGTACGCTGTTGTGGCGCCAAGCACATGTGGAAGTCAAAATGTAAAGGGACACCGGATTCGGAGCACTTTTGGAAGTTGAGATGTTGAAAAAGTGCACGCCGTTGTGGCGCGAAGCACGTTTCCAGGTCAGGGTGGTAAAAGCGCCGCATGTTCGCGCCGATTTCGGAGGTTGCGATGTGGAGTGCGCACCGTTGCGGCACGAAGCACATTTAGGAAGTAAACATGTGAAAAACACACCACGTTCGGACTTTTGGATGTTCAACCGCACCACACGACGCTACACTACAACTAATTACAACAGCGCTACTACAGTTACAACAACTACAACTACAACTACAACAACCACGGCAACTACAGCTGCAGCTACAGCTACAACATGCGACAACTACAGCCACAACGGCGCGTGCTTTTTGAACATCTCAACTTCCAAAAGTGCTTCGAGGATAGCGTGTTTTTAACATTTTTCTTCCAAGCGTGCTTCGCGCCACAATGGTGTACACTTTTTGAACATCTGAACTTCCAAAAGTGCTCCGAGAATGTTGTGCTTTTAACATTTTTACTTCCAATTCTGCTTCGCGCTACAACAGCGTACACTTTTTGAACATCTGAACTCCCAAAAGTGCTCCGGAGGTGAAGTGTTTTTTAGCTTTCTGGCATCCAAATCTGCATTGCGCCACAACGGCGTGCAATTGTTCATCTTCTGACTCTGATATTCTTCCTTTTCATCTGTTCAAATTGTGGGAAGTTTGACTTCAAAAACTTCCTTCGACTACGACTACGACGACTACGACGACTACGACGACGACCGCCGCCACCAACACCACCACCACCACCACTATTACTACTATTACTACTATTACTACTATTACTACTGCTGCTACTACTACTACTACTGCTACTACTACTACTACCACTACTACCACTACTACTACTACTACTACTACTACTAGTACTACTAGTACATCTGCTAGTAAAGCTACTACTACTACTACTACTACTACTACTTACTCCTACTACTACTCCTACTACTCCTACTACAGCTGCAATTACAACTGCATCTGCAGCTGCAACTACAACTGCAACTACAGCAGCAACAACAACTACAACTACAACCGTTACAACCACAGCCACGGCTACAACTACAACCCACAGCTACAACTACAACTGCAACTACAACCACAGCTCAAGAACGCTATATACACTACGCTACATTACAACTTCAGCTACAACTACACTACAGTACACCACAACACATCCAGCAGCTGTGGATGAGGTGACCACGGCAACCACTCCAAAAAGCACAACTCCAACCACCTTTCGGTCCATCAATGGATTCGCTCTGCCATCCATGCATCAAGTTTCCTATCTTTGAAGCTTCCGCCACCGCCTTGTGCGGTACTATTGGTATGCACATATACATACATACATACATACATCCATGCATGCAGACATACATACATACATACATACATACATACATACATACATACATACATACATACATACATACACACATACATACATACATACATACATATTTATATATAACTATGGTTATTTATTTATTTATCTATTTATTTATTTATTTATACATATATATGATTCTATATGTATATACAAATATTTACATACACATATATATATATATAGAGGTTTCCTAAAATATGGGGTACCCCAAAATGGGTTTCAATACTGAAATGGTCTGATGACTTGAATGATTTGGCGTTTGTTTTAGGAAACCACCAAATATATATAAATATATTTGCATTTACATGAGGAACGGACTAGATTGTCGGATGACAAACGTAATAGGCCGTGCACTTTCGATGGTGCCTTCACAACCCATACGGGGCCACCCAGTCTAGTCATGTCCTGTTCGAGTAAAAGGATTTCGTCTGGCACTCATGTGTAAACTTTTGTATTTGTTTTTTCCTTTGTATGTATATATATATATATATTTGTTCTTTCCTTCGTATATTTATATATATACATGTGTTTATGTATATATATATATGTGTATATATATGTATATATATGTAATATATATATATGTATATATGCCTATACATATATATATATATATATACATATTCAATTATGTACATAGATATTTGTGCAGATATGCATGCATGTGTGTATACATATATATAGTCTTGTTTTTTTCTGTCCGACATGGAATGACGATGAAATTGACATGCATTTTTCAGATTGTTTTTTTTGAATCTTGAATTTGTGTGCAAACTAACGTGCGGACACCACCAATGTCAGCCACATTTGTTTCAACCAAAACACACATAGCATGAACCATTATTTAATTGGATGTTGATCCCAACTACCGCGAGTTAAAACCAAACGTTTGTTGGGTCGCATCTTCATTGCTGTCGATTTTAAATTTCGGTGAAATCCAAATTCAACGATCAGTTCCTTTTTTTGCTGGTCATATGTCCACTGATATACGTTCTGCACTAGACCTCAAACAAAAATCAAACGTGAAAAATGGAGAACACATGATAAACTCTTAAACAGATTAATTAAACCACTCCCTCAACAGAAATCACTGGGATGCGCAGGAAATTGGCCTGTATCCGCCAGACCTGTGCTGGAGAATGTCAACCACGGTCCCTTTGTGGGTCGGTTTGGGGTGGGCCGCAGTAAGGATCAGTGGGTACCATCGCCCCAACCCTTAGAATAGCCACTTGTAGTGGAAAGATGGAAATTTACGGTAAAATAGGGTTACCCTCTGGTAAACTAACAGTTTGCTATTGAAAATGGCCATTTATAGTGGATTTACCCATTGAAAATGGTGATTTTCAATAGCTATGTTAGTCATAACCAGAGGGTCTTTCCATGAATTTTGTTACCTGGTTGCAGTCGCCCAAGTGACCAAGTGACGACTGTGAGATTCCAGGTGAGGTTTCCTGACAAATGTCTCTGTTGTTTATTGCAGTGTGAAAAAAATGGTTCAAAAGTCACAGCGTGGGGCCCCGAAGTTATAAGTTGGTGAAAAACATTAGCCATATATAGATAATTAATGAGAACCATATATATATATATTTCCACCATAAGCCTAGTTACGCTAGCTATAAACCGACTTAACTACCTAGGGGGCCCTATTTGCAGCTTTGTTGTGTATCCTTGCCATTCCCATCCAATATCAATGATGGTTCTTGAAATAGGGGTACCCCAATAGCTGGATGTGGATGGTTTATAATATGGAAAATCCTATTAAAGTGGATGATTTAGGTGTATATACCATTCTATACCACTATTTTAGGAAACCTCCATATATTCTCAATATCATATATGTCAATATTCCCACTTAGTTATTTCTGGTAAACATAATGCATAACATCGTCAAGTTCAGTACGCTTACCGACAGTTTCCTGGGATGCAGGCACATGTATATCCTATAATTGACATCGTCTTTTGATATCCTGTATATCTATATATATATAGGCAGATATACAGACATTTATATGTATATATGTGTATATGTATGTATGTATATGTATATATATATATACATATAGAGGATATCCCGACTTCAATTGGCGATTTTCAGATAATGGTTTTACCATGTTTTAGATTTTATCATTTCAACATCCACCATTTGGGGAACCTACTGGGAAGACATGGCCCATTTACTTCAGCTGATTTCCCCATTAAAAATGGTGATCTTCCAGTTCGCTATGTTGTTTTACCGGGTGCTATCCACTATATCCCATCATATCATATCCCATATATACCATTCTGATATTCCCCTTCTATTTCCTATTCTATTCCCATTTCTATTCCCATCAGCATCCCATTCAAGTCCCCCTTTTTTTACATGTTTGCCACGTCGCGCCTCCTAGGTTACTGCATGTTCTTCGCGCTCTATGTGACGGTCCCTTGGTTAATACGTGGTTGGCTAACAATGGTTTGTAATAAACTTACTTGAGAGATGTAAGGAATAATGACTAAGCGTGATGATGAACCATATGATGGATCCAAGTTTGCAGAACATCTTAATGTTATTAACTCCTCAGTGAATTGCTCACATAAATCGGAACTCGAGTAAAATCTATCAAGTCCATTGCAGTTGCGTCAACAGTAGTTGTGCCGAATGATCGAATGATTTCCAAATACTTCGCCATCAGTTGCGGGGGATCCGATTCTTTGCCAGAAACGGACAGCCAGCCAGTTATGAATCGAGTTGCTCAACCCTCACAGAACCATTAATACTCGGTGGCAAACTAGCTACGGATGTAGAAGTGGTTGTTTCAGTGGGACGTTTGTAGGGTTAATCTAACCTACTTGTGATTCGTGGGTAGTTCGCCACCAAGTAGTTCGCCACCAAGTAGTTCGCCACCAATTTGAAGGTCTCATTGTTCATATCCTGATGCATCTACCCTCTGGTAAACTAACAGTTTGCTATTGAAAATGGCCATTTATAGTGGATTTACCCATTAAAAATGGTGATTTTTCATAGCTATGTTAGTCATAACCAGAGGGTACGTTTCATGGGTAAAAAAACCCTCTGGTGTCATCAGTTCTATGGCTTGCTGGTGTCCACCATTCGAGGGCCGCTGCCCTCGAACCTTTGAGGATTTTCCCCGCGAAGCTTTCACCTCCAAGCTGGATATGGGTATGTCTGAAAATGGGGTATACCCCCAATTATAGCCATTTAGTAGGGATAATGATCATTAACCATTGGGTGTAGGGGTACACTATTTTCAGACAAACCCATATTTTCCAGCTATGTTTGACCAGAGGCTTTTTCTCCATTCATATCCTATGATAAAAAATCATCCCATTTTGATCCACATTAACCACTATATATATATAAAAAAACATGTACCCTCTGGATATGCCATGGTATAGATGGCCCATAGAAATAGATGGTTTACCGTTCTTAAAGATGGTGATTTTCCATGGCTATGTTAAATAACCAGAGGGTATATTTAAAAACATTTATATAATAAATATCCCATGTTTATCTATATTTCCATATATGTCCTATTATCCAATATAAAAACAATAAATATCTATATTTCCATATATTTCCATATTATCTATATTTCCATAATACATATCCATGTTTATCTATGTTTAACCAATATTATCTATGTTTAACCAATATAAAAGCATAACTATACCATTGTTATCCGTGGATCCTTTTGAGTCCGAGAATGGCGTTTTTGCACGTCATCGAAAGGAAAAAACAACACCTGAAACTTCATGACCACCCATGATCAATGGGAATTTCAGGATCCTAAAATGGAGGTACGTTAGTACCATATTTTTGGCCATATTTTGTGGTGATATTCACTTACATAGGCCTGAAAAAAAGGCCTTATATATGGTAGGTACCTCCATTTTAGGATCCTGAAATTCCCATTGATCATGGGGGGGTTGCTGGGGATCTGCAAAACCATTGGTTTCAATGCTGCTCTACTCTCTGGTAAACGATCACAGTTTGCGAAGTGGAAAATCACAATTCTTAATGGTAAATCAACGAACTACATGGCAATGTTCAGTAGCTATGTTAGTTTACCAGAGGGTTACTTTGGATGATTTGGGATTACCCCATGTTACCCCCCATTTTAGGACACCTCCACTTATCAAACTAGTGAGAACTATATAGCTGCAAACATGCATACCCCCAATCTAACCCTGCAACATCAATGGGTTGACGGTCAACGGCTCCAAAGGAATTTTGTTCCATCCATGTTCTGAGTTCTTTGGCATGCTACTTTTGTTGATTTGAAAGCACTTGATCTGTTTGTGCCAAACATGCTAGTTTTTGTTTGCCTGTGGCAGTGGTGATTGTTCTTCCAAAGACCGGTGTGGCTCATTTGGTGACTGGAAATGGGAGATACGTAAAATATCGTAAGATAAGACGATGTTACCATTGTGATTACATGTTATGTTTGCTCAATTGGTCTCTGGTTTATGATGTTTGCTCGAAGATACCACCAAACCTGAAACATTTTTTTTTTTTTTGCGGTGGCTTGCTGAACCATGCGCCGTTAGGTATGATGCATGCATTTTCATGATTTCACAACAGCATCACGGCGTAAATGATGGTTTAAGATTAAGAATCATCCCCAAATGGCCTTATTTTTTATACAGATATTATAGATATTATAGATATGTTCTACGTATCCATATATATATATATATACATGTATATATACATCCATATCCTTATTTCTAGGTCAATCTTGGATGGGTACTTTAATCCTCTAGTCTTTTGGTATCAATGGGAATTATCTACTCACCAGCTAAGATTTTGTTCTTTTTGCAGGGTATCTAAGATTGGCAATGACATAAGAGGTGAATCACTGGGTTTTATGTCACTTAACCATGGTTGGTGAATATCACCATTTAATTTAGAGCAACATAATTTCCGGAAAACCAATATAGCTGACATACCTATGCAGAAAGCCACGTGTAAATCAATGTCCTACGTTCGGCGGGCCCCGCAAACATAGAAATGTTTGTCGGTCGAATATCCCCCATGACTACTATCGTTCGATATATATATATATATGTATGTATATACCCTCTGGTAATTTGTCACATAGCTATTGAAAATGGCCATTTATAGTGGATTTACCCATTGAAAATGGTGATTTTCCATAGTTATGTTAGTTTACCAGAGGGTATATCTAATATAATATAAGTTTGGCGAATCAGTATTATTCAGCCAGGTCTTGGGAAGACATCCATTTTTTGTGTCCACATAGGCTGATGATCCCCACAGAATGGCTTGTTCAATGGCCAGCGAGCTACCACCAATCAGTCCCAAAATGACTAAGTAATTAGTATATCTATTAGTCTTAGACATATTACATAGACATACTAACCGCTAAACTCAATATTGACATACTAGCTGATATATCTATGTAATAGTATTAAATTTATCAATTAGTATGTCTATGTATTGGTATATCTAGTATATATTATCTATTAGTAGTATATCAATTACCAATACATAGATAGAATATAATCCAATAATTGGATATCATTATAGTATTATGGTATATCTATTATTATCTATTATTATCTATAGTTATCTATTATTGTCTAAGAGTAGTATATCAATTATCCACGATTCTTGCAGAAATCTCTATGTATAACTTGCTTCGACCACGACTTGGCAAGGTCATCGTCTTTGCCGTCCTTCGCGTAATCACGGCGATTTTTGTCAAGGATTCCCGGTGGATTTTTTGAGGCGTAGACCAAGAGATAGGGGAAAAACATCTATAAATGATCCTAAATTCTGGGAACATGGTAAATAGATAATCTATATAATTGGGACATGATCTAATGTGAACATATTCTAACAACACACACACATATATACACCTGGATTTGTGGGTTGTCGATGATTCTTAGCATTGTCCAAATTGGAAATCTACTACGACTGGGTAATCTACAGGGAAGATCTTTGATTTTTTGGAGGGGCCTGAAGCAATGCCAAGTATATGACCAACGTTCTTGGGGTACCCAAGGTTGATTCAAAAGTATTTGGTGATCTTGGAACAAAAGTCAAAATCCCTCCGCAGTCAGGGATTCGCCTCAATTTATGGCCACGCTGATATTTTGCGACAGCCTGGGTCATTTCCTAAAAAGCTGGTTGCTCAATTGGAGGCTTCCCCACCAAAAAGTAATCATCTGCAACAGGGGCACCACCCCCCGTCACCACCCCCCAATCAAACAGCCCAGAAAACAAGAAGGGTCAAGGATGGTATAGGTATGATAGGTTTTTCGAAGAATTTGGGTTCGGGGTAACTGGTATTGAACAAGCTAATCCAATTTTGCAGTGTTCAAAATTCCTGGTGTTTGACTATTGTGTGGGACTATACTATGCAAGTCTGTGCAATCTATCAAGGATCATCACACTCCGTTATGGAACATTCAAAAAAAAACAGCAAGGTGAGAAAGGGACGACGGCAAGCGGGTTTTCTGTGAACTATGAGAGTGGGGTTGGGCCCCCCAAGTCCTTTCTACATGTTTGTTGGTTGTTATCGTGAAATCCAGTTCGATGTGAAGCTGGTAAGATCTGGGAACTATGTGACTCTCGCTTTTTGGTAAATTGATGTAAATTGTATGTTTGTTGGTTTATATAGCCCATTACCTGTTCGATATATCTACCATAAACCATAGAATCATGCAGTTGCAAAGGAACTTAGATTCTAATAGATCCCTGTGGGGCACACGGAATCGTACGCGAGTTTGTTGATCCTACTTTATTCAGTAGGGTAAGTATGTAGGGTCCAGTTTCAACTGGGGTGAACTAACATGAACTAAGTCACTTGCCATTCCTCACAGTATGTAACTTCAAGTAGTGGCCTCACTACTTGGTTTTCTTCGGCCACACCCCCGACCGACTGGTCTATCAAGGATTGACCATAGGATACGGGGCCCCTAGAACTGGTGAAGTATCATCACTTGTACTGAGGTAAACCGCCAAAAACATCATAAACCATCCCCTTTTTCAAGGTTTATGGAAGTGTGACCGTGGTAAACCCCTAGAAATCCCAGTGATAATCCCCAGTCAACCGGTAAAAAATGCGCTGGCGGCGAATCCCACATGAAATTCTACTGCAGCCTCACTATGACCATTAATAACTCATTATTGACTATGATTAACCATGACTAACCATGACTAACATGATACTAACCACTATTGCCATTACTACCCTCTGGCAAAATAACATAACTATGGAAAATCACCATTTTTCATGGGAAAATTCATGAACTAAATGGTGATGTTCCATAGTTTTTTGTATGTTTACCAGTTTACCAGAGGGTAACCATGACTAACCAGTATGAATCGTTATGTCATCCCGAAAAATCTGCCGCGCCATCCCCAACGTCCAGGAGACCTTAGAGGTCGCCAGCAACGATGCGGAGCTCATGGTCCAGGACAGAGGGGGAATTCTCGAAAAAATGATCACTGTTTCTATCTATATTATTGGTATATGATTGGTATATTATTGGTATATGATTGGTATATGATTGGTATATGATTGGTATATTATTGGTATATGATTGGTATATGATTGGTATATGATTGGTATATGATTGGTATATTATTGGTATATTATTGGTATATTATTGGTATTATTGGTGTATTATTGGTATATTATTGGTGTATTATTGGTATATTATTGATATATGACTGTATTATTATTATTATCATGATATGATATATATAATAGAGATCATCATTATCATGATAATTGTCCCATTAGGGGAATACATATTAATAAATAGATCATCATCATAGTAAGTATCCCGTTATTGAATTTTATTATCCCATTGTATAATGAGAATGATTATGAATATAAGCATACATCATTCCTCTCCTTGGTCTGAATACTTACCATTATCATACCGTTGCTACTGTGGATGGTTCGTGGATGGTTAAGAAATCCTGCACCACCAAAAGGCTGGTCGAAACATGTTGAAAACCTACAAATAATGGGAAGCTAGCTAACAGTGAACTGGTGCAGGATTGCTTCCATCCACAGTATCATTATCCCCCAATGGTCTGAATTTCCTATGATATAATGACAATTATTATTTCTATTATATATATAATGATAATATATTAATAATATACCAATAATATACAAACGATGTAATCATTGGTATATTGCAAACATGTATATTGCATCAGGTCGCAGTAATATTAAATTGAGTTTTAGATTATACCACTATTGATGTATCGCCTTCGTGAATATGTTGGACATTATATTAGGCTTATCAATATATAGTCATCCTGAAGTAGATAGAATATCGGAAATTTTCAAAAAGGAATTTTTCAAAAAAAAAAAAAATAGTTGGAATATTTTCAAAACCCTCAGTTTTTACACGTTTTTCGTCTTTGTTAAGTCATTTTTAGCCAGTTTTGGACACGGGTCTGGGGAAATTTTGAAAAATACAAAAATCAAACAACACCAAAAAATAGATAGAATATTGTTTCAAACCAGGTAGATAGAATATTTTGAGGGAATTGTGAACACCACGCGCAGACCCCACAGCAGCTTGAGACTGTTTTTCCACAGGATATTCCACCATATTCCACCTACCTACCCCTCCAAACCATATTCCAACTACCAGTTTTCGACCTCCCCGGGGGGGGTCGAAATATTCCAACTACCTGTTTTTTTTAAGTGGCCGACATCCAACATAATTCCAACATAAATCCCGCACCCTCCAAAAAAATATTCTATCTACTTAAGGATCACTATACGTTCATGGGTTTATTTATAGTGAAGTATATTCTTAACATCATCTCCCCATTAGTGAATGCATCATTGTTAATGGATGATGATATCATTATTTGATATCAATATATATTATTATATAATAGATGATTGATGTTAACTAATGTGAAGATAATGATGATGATGATGATGATGATGATGATGATGATGATGATATATATATATATATATGTACATATTATGAATGTTAATGGATGTTAGTGGATATTAATAGATGTTAATGGATGTTGATGGATGTTAATGGATGTACTGTCTATATAGTCAACTGATTTTTAGTGCTATCTATATAACCATCCATAAATGCGGAGACAATGGGGATAGGAGTTTTTTTGTCGGGGATAACGTGAAGGATATTGAACCAACGCATAGGATGATTGTTACCCTCTGGTAAACTAACATAACTATGGAAAATCACCATGTTTAATGGGTAAATCAGCCATAAATGGCCATTTTCAATAGCTATGTTAGCTTACCAGAGGGTATACCCTTTGGTAATTTAACATAACCATGGAAAAACACCATTTAGTTCGTGAAATTTCCCATGAAACATGGTGATTTTCCATAGTTTTTTTGTAGGTTTACCGGAGGGTAACCAACAAGTGAAGCAACAATGTGGGTGCGTCCAAAAATCGGACAAGCATGTATAACCGACACATTCGATGTTTGATGGGGATATGTGTCATAAACCCTTGGATTTTTAAGGGTACCCTATTTTTGGACCAATTTGTTCATGTTTTTTTTGGCCTTTTCCCAATGGGAAATCCACTAGAAATAGAGACTCCAAAAAGGGAACATGTTTTAATTTTGTTGGGGTTCCTTAAGCCAAGTAATGTAGCAGAACGTACGTTTCATGATGCTGGGCCCAGGGCAGAATTAGGAAGGAGCGGTTCGGGATATACATATTCCCTATGAAATACGGAACCAGTTGGGGCTACAAATTGAGGTTACCAACCACATGATAGATCATGATAGTAGATAATGAGTTTTGTTGAGTTCAAACCTAGACTTGAGATGGAACATAATCCCAGTTGTAAGAGACATGCCCTTCTGAAGTGACCCTCATGTTTTTTGGTTGTTTTTTTTCAGGAGCGGATGAGGAAGAAAGCTTCCTATGTGACTTGGAGAAAATGGAGCCGGGACAAACCCGCATCTAAGTTACCGACTATAACCCATGAAAAGGGTTCCTTTCTTTTTCGGTACTCTATGACTTGATTTTGTGTATTTCGGGATGATTCAATACGTATGATGCCAGTTTGCCAGTTTGAACCCCTTCTTAGTATTCATATTAATTGCCGTAGAAACCCATTTGATTATTTTTATTTGGGAATGGTTAAAACCTATTCTTGCGTATTCTATGTTTTGCCATCACGAGCGATGAGCATCCGCAAATCCCAGCTACCAATAAAAATGGCAATTTCGGAGGTGTTCCCCATTTTCAGACACACCATTTCATAGTGTGGATGGTTGCGAAATCCTGCATCACCAAAAGGATGGTTGAAACCCTAAATAGTGGGATGTTTAAAAACCGTTTTCAACTGGTGCAGGATTTCGCAACCATCCACCGTATGTTCATTTTGAATAATTGGGATGATTTCACCTCTGAAAATGGTGTCAAATATCCAACATTTGATTGCGGATTCGAACCACCAATCAGTGATGGTAAAACATCAACTTACCCTTTGATCTTTGGTAATCTAACATACCTATGGAAAATGGATGAACATGGCAAGTGAAAGTAGATGATGGTTTTCCATAGCTATGTCAAAATATGATTAAGATCTTTTTATCATATTGGTGGGAGTGATATCTGGTGATTCAAGCAGCTACTCTTCTGACACAACTGTTATTGATAGTATGAACATAGAGTCATAGAGTTTTTTCATAATTTATCATCATGCATTAATCAATAACACAGCCTGTATTAGCACTGATTATTGTAATCATTCATCATCATGGATTAATGCACCATGTTATATGACCCCCAATCATTTTTATCGACGTCACTGGAATGATGGTGAATGTAAGGGGGAATCCTTTTCAATTATTTTCAGGTTAGTGAATTATTCTAATTCAACCAGAAAAAATGGATGCAAAAAAAGGTATATAAACTTTATAGATACCAATTCATATTATATCAGTTATATCTATAGTCAATGTATGTCAATGGTATATCCACCAATTGATATAACATCAATTGACTATAGTTGACACACATTGATATGGTATAGTTGGCTAGTGTATGAACATCAACTATTTGATATGGTATTCATGTTGTATCTATATCATTCTATATCCACCATTTATTTTCAGTTGATTTTCACACACCTTACATTTTTACACCAAGGTCAAGAAGTTGGAAAGCACCTTGGTGGAGGATTTTTCGCTTGAAACAATGGGGATTTTTAGCTGGGTAAAATGGGGCTGGGTAAAATCACCATTTTTAATAGGTAAACCATCTATAAATGGGCCATTTTCCAGAGGGTATACTTGATGTTCAAAGCTAGAAACCTCTATTTATCTGGGTAAATTTCATCACGACCGAAGCCTGTTCTCCCGAAGCCTGGAACTATATGGTTAATTTTAGGGAAATGATCCCCATAGCTGGCCGCAAGATTCAGGTTAGTGAAATATAACATAATTTACCCAGATTTATAGAGGTTGAATGGTGATGCAACCATCATTTATAGAGGTTTAATATGGTTTAATGGTTTAATGCATGAAATACCACTCATGCTGGTTTTTCGTGGGGATTTGTGACCATGATTTACGGAGGTGTTCGCCATGAAGAGATGTTGATATCATTAATACACGAGAATAGATACCATCTGGTTATTTAACATAGCCATGGAACATCACCATTTTTTTATAGGTAAACCATCTATAAATGGGCTATCTACACCATGGCTATGTTAAATAACCAGAGGGTAATGGGAACCAGGGATAAACTTGAATAAGATACCTTCAAGTAAGCCAACACAGCCATGAGTTTCCCTCCGACCTAATCTACAAGATTCTACATAAACATGGTGGAAATTCCATACCTGGTGTTTGGTTTTCCAGAAGGTGAAGCTGGGTATGGGACAAGTCGTTGGGCTTAACACTTGGATCCCCAATTTCCAACAGAAATGGGTGGTACAAACCCTCCAAACTTGGATTTCCCAGAAAGATGGAGCTTTTCTCTCCGGTCTCCTGGGGTTTTAAAATTTTTTAAAACAATGTTAACCCGTTGCGCTGTGACCTACGCACCTTGCGTTCATGTGCACCAATGAGTTTTTTTTTTTTTCCGGGATTGTATGGAAGGATTTTTTTGTGAAATTATACCCACATGGTCACATGGTCAACATTCAAAAATTGAACTTGGGCAACTTCATTGAGAAAAGATCTCTAGGTGCATTTTTCTACTGTCCAAGGTCCAGGTTTTTTTTTCAATTCGACAGGGGGATCAAAGCCTTGAATATATGGGGATGGGTCAAAACCTATTATTACTACTGTATGACAGGGAACCAACATCCCTTTACCAATTATTTACGGTTTCACCAGGGTACGGGGTTTTGACTCATACCCATATCTGTATATAATATCAAATGATGAAATGATAAGTTTGCAATGTCTGCTAATATGATATATGATGATATCGATGTAAATCATAGGGAGCAATGCTGCGATGCTTGTAAACAATTTCTGTCAATGCTGCGATTTTAGTCCAGAAAAGGAAGCATATGGGGTGTGTATCAGTACCCCATATGTGGGCCCCCAAATCAACTAGTCAACTGGCTTCAATATGATCCAATATCAATATTAGGAAGGAGGAATTGCTTACTGTAAACTTTACAGGAACGAAGTTAGCCCTTGAAAGCTAGCAGCGCTGCAGCCCTATCTTCCGTTGGAAGATGGCTCGATGCAGTAGCTGGACTTTCCCTCTTTCTCGCTCCTTCTGGGTCTCGTTGTTGGTTTTAAATGGTTGTTGTTTTTTCAACCAGAACTGGTTGGTGGTTTGGAACATTTTTTGTTTTCCCATATATTTGGAATGTCATCATCCCAACTGACGAACTCCATCATTTTTCAGAGGGGTAGGTGGCTCAACCACCAACCAGATAAAAATCATCATTCATCAATCATCATTAACCATCATTAACCATCATTAACCATCATTAACCATCATTAACCATCATTAACCATGGCACCACATATATTAGATGGTGCACCCATATTAACTATAGATGGGACACCCATATTGACAATACCTGTTCCATATGTTCATGGTTAGCCATTAACCATCATTAACCATGGAATCACCAACCACAAAAGGGATGATTGGTTGAGATGGCAATAGTTTTTTATGACTTCCCCAGCGAAGTGGAGCCTCATATTTTGTTCGGGGATATGCAAGGCCACATAGTAGGGACACAAAGGAGGGTATTCCCTACTTGTTGGTTATATATTATATATACATATATCACAATATATCACCATTAAACTGCAGTATTAGATATCCCGAAATTTGTGGTTTGTTGTATACCATCAAGATCCATTTTCATAGACTATAGATAATTATGACATCCACTAATATCCTGTCGCAGTTGTCGATTTTTCTGAGGTATTTTCAAGGCGATGGATGACAGTGGTGATGGCCTGCTGTCAGAGGAAGAGATGAGCGAGTGGCTTATGGATGAAAGAAGCTTGGATGGTGACAGGGATTCGAGGTTAAGTAGGATTGATGGTAGATAATTGCATTATATATATATAGATAGTTAATATAGGGGCTTATAAACCCACATTCACATTAATATCATACATATATATATACTTTAACGGTGGTAAATTTATCACATGCCATAGTCACCATCCCAGAGAAACCAACCGGTTGGTTCGGTCGTTTCCATCATCGTTTATGCCATAGTCACCTCTGGGGGCCCTGGGGGATGGTTCAGCCGATGAATTTTTCTCCAGGGATACAGAATATCAATGGATTGGTTTAAGGGAAAATCTACAGGAAACCATGGTTTTTACCATCAAATATAGGGGTTTCCTGTAAATTTTCCCATCATCCAATTCTATGAGAATATCTTCCAACCAGACAGATATGAATAGCCATGATATAGCCTCTGGTTATGACTAACGTTATGACTAACAGGGCTAGCCATGGTTTTTCGATGGCCCTAATCGAAATAGATTAAATTGATGGTTTACCTAGCTATAAAATGGTGAATTTCCATGGCGAACTGTTAGTCATAACCAGATGGTACATGCTAGTGGTTTGAGATTGAAGGTATGTGGTAGACTTCCAAAACCCAAAACTTGGCTTCCTTCACGATGTGAATACATTCCAAATGGCTCTTTTTGACAAACCCAACAGGTGATTTCAGGCGCCAGGCTAGGCTGGATTTTGTATGATATTTTGACATTTTTGAGCCACACAAACTGGGGACATCAGAGCTTGCTGTGGTTTCGACGTTTCATTTTTGGCTGATCATTTAGTATCAGCCACGCAGGAGGGAACATGTTAACATCCAGCAACAACCCCCTGTCTATTTATGATAAGGTTTGAGGTTGGCCATGCAATACACGGTGCCACTGCGCCATATGGGTCTCGGTTAACTCTGGGACCTTCAGAGTCTGTCGGATGCGGCACCGCTTTGAATTCGCTTTGATTGAGTGGTTCGTAGGTGTCGGTGTGTCTGAAAATAGGACCCCTGCCCTCCCGAACGGCCAATTTTCGTAGGGGGAAAGAAAGGAGGATTAACCAGTGGATGTGGATGCTGGTTGGTGGTTTGGAACATTTTTTATTTTTCCATATATTGGGAATGTCATCATCCCAACTGACGAACTCCATCATTTTTCAGAGGGGTAGGGCTCAACCACCAAGCAGGGATGGTTTCTGAACCGTGTTTTTCTCTAATTTTCAGCGAACCTCATGAATTTTGAGTCAGAAAAAACACCTGGGAATGCCATGCCCAACTATTTGTGGTGACCTTAGTAGCCTCTGCAACTGGGATCCTTTGGAAAGTCTGTGTTAATACCACCCCATCTCATCATTTCCCGAATCTCATAAGGCCATCGAAAATCAACCAACCATTCAATATGATGTTCCCGTTGAACATTGCTAGTTAACTACCCGTTGTATACCCACTATTATAACTATATAGCCATATATAGCCATAAAGCTCATGATTAATAGCCACATAAATTCACCAGCAAGGCTCTGACTCTTCAACTTCAAACCCCATCATGATAGCCTCAGGAGTGCAGGCTTACCTGGAAAGCTTAGATGTAGATGTGGCTGAAGGGGAGGCGCTCTTCCGACTTTTACAGCGCCTTGGAAAAAAACGATGGCGAAAAGATGTTCATGCAATTTTTCATGGTGATTCATATAGGGATTTCGCCAACAATGGGGATGTGAAAATGGGACTGTTAAACCTATATAGGTGAATAGACTAGAACTCAATCGTTTCTGGATAAGATATAATGACCTCACATCGTGATGTCACTGGAATGATGGTTAATATATGTATATATATATATTATACAGTATATATATAGAATATGGGGAAATCCTCACCAAAAACGCATGTCTCTTTTTTGGAGACAAGAAAAGTATGGTTCAGCCATGTTTTGTTCATGATGGATCCCGACTTCATCATTATCGACATATTTATAGGCTACAACTCGGGATCAGAACGTTGGCCGACGTTGGTGGTGTCAAAATGATTTTAGCATTTTTGGGTTGTTAAATGGGAATCTTTGGATAGTCATGCACCAATTCCTGTCCAGATATTGGGAACTTCCTGAAACATCTTCACCTTTTCATAATTCTACAGGCTACAGTAACAATGGACTTCAACAAGAATGAGGATACACTGGAAATTGACCTTGAACATACAGGATGGTGCCCCCCAGTTATGTTTGTTGGTTTGTAAACCCCATGAACTAGTTCGTTATATCTACCATAAACCATAGTCAATTCAGCCACAGCCATATCTCAACTGAACGCTATCGAACAGGGGACCCATCCTGTAGAACGAGAATGCAATGGAAATTTCATGGGAATATAGTGGGATCCGATGGGATACGGCGAAAATAAAACCCTCTGGTATCCTCTGGTAATATAACATAACTATGGAAAATGGATGAACTACCCTCTGGTAAACTAACACAACTATGGAAAATCACCATTTTTAATGGGAAAACTCACTATAGATTGCCATTTTCAATAGCTACGTTAAATTACCAGAGGGTAACCATTCCTGTGACAAGCCATTGCCAAGGAATGACGAGGGTGATATCACCTACCAAGATTTCATCGCAGGCGCAGCAGCTGAGCGAGCGCAAAAAAAAACCCAGAAATTCATGAGCAGTTCTTGGTGATGTTCATTTCCGTTCAAAAACCGTCAACAAAATAAGCTGGTTGGTGGTTTGAAACATTTTTTGTATTTTTCCATATATCGGGAATAATCATCCCAACTGACGAACTCCATCATTTTTCAGAGGGGTAGGGCTCAACCACCAACCAGCTCAACAATAAGCCATAGAATCCCTAATATATCATAGGATATATTCCATATATCTATGTAGGTGAATCGACTGGATGGGTAGGGTCCAACCCTAACTAGTCTTTTGGTATCAATGGGATTATCTACGTTCACCAGCTAAAAAGTTGTTATTTTTGGCAGGGTATCTAAGATTGGCCATGATCATTCCAAATAGCAGTTGAACAAGAAACATACATATATATATATATACACATGAAACACCAGCCAGAGATCAAAGCAATAGATGAATTTGGCATGATAGTGACTATCTTGGAACCTTCCAATATCAGTACGGTACCTCGGCAAATCGTAGGTACCCTATGGTACCCTACAATTCATTCATCTTTTGCTGGAAGTTTACACCCTCATTCATGGCCAAAAAAGAGTCACCACGGATCTACCACACCAAGGCAATTCCCCAGTTTTTTGGAGACGGAAAACGAAGGATTGACCCCGTATACAAACCATCATTCCAGTTTTTGGGAGAACTGTGAGGGAGAACTATAATTTACCATCTTTTGCCCAGAATTATAAGTCATCCTAATTGTCAGTTTTACATATATATATATATTTAACATTCATTACATCCCCGTCATATCCCCATTATCATCCTTATAGAATATATGTATATAATATATAACAATAATATGTAGATATATCTCTAATTCAGGCATCGCTGGTTCAGTCTCCTTCCACACGGTCCGTAGAGCGACACTGCATGAAGTCAGATGAACCAGCACTGTGTAATCGATGCACTTACTGTTGAACCAACATGCTGGTATATGGGGGGGTTCCTATGTCTTGGGGGTACTCCCAGTATCCCAGTTATTCGACTATGACTTAGTATTGAAACCTAGGGTGACTTGGGGTACCCACATGACTTAGGAAACCTCTGTTGATAGACAGAGTTTCCCGCCTCCAAATGATGTGGATTTACTGCAGATTCTTCGATAACTTTTCCCAGCGGCAACCCCCATTTGGCAGATCTATCTTGTGTCTTGTGCAATCTTTTTTTTTTCGTGCGCTTTGAGCAAATCTAAGGATGCCAAACATGTCTTGAGTGGGTTGCACTTGGCTTTTTTCCTAAGTCAGCCATGGATCTTGTGGATACCCACCTGACAGTCACGGAAACGCTGGGTAGTCGATTCGATGCGGATGGTGGAATGGTTTTTGGATGTTTTTGGGGTGCTTGGATTCCCAGTTTATGGTGGAAATGATGCGAAATCGCACTTTGTTTGTCCTGCGGTATATATTAATATGTATTACGTATATGTATATATTATATATTATGTCTTTACTCTTCAGGTCCGAAGCACTCCTTTTTTTTCTTAGCGAGTCCCGATTCCAAACTTGTTTTTATGATGAAAACAGCTTGCTATTTGGAGGATCATCCCACAGATCGTAAGTGGTGAAAACACCCTGGTTACTATAGTTCCTATTCAGTAGGTTATCCCATGTTTTTCGCTGGCTGTTTGTGTATTTTTCGTCCACAAACTCGTCCACAAAAACCACAAAAATATAGCCTCCGGGGTCTAAAAAACGTGGCTTGGACAATCACCAGTATCAACTATACGAAGCATTACCAGTATACGAAGCATCATGAATCGTTATCAACTTATCAACCATTAAACAATGACTGGTTGGTGGTTGAAACATTTTTTATTTTTCTATACGGGAATTTCATCATCCCAACTGACGAACTCCATCATTTTTCAGAGGGGTAGGTATACCGCCAACCAGATTTTTCACAATCAGAAAAATCATCATGAATCATAATCATCAATCATCATTAACCATCATTAACCATGGCACCACATTAACTATAGATGGTGCACCCATATTGACTATAGATGGTACAGCCATGCTGAATCTTTACTGACTCTCCCTGGACCGTCGGACGTTTTCGGCAGGCATTTTGCGGTGCAAGGGCGCCGCGCGGGCCATTGATCAGCTCATCCTCCAGAGTGAGGCGCGGATGACGAAAGGCCGAAACGCGGCGAAACGAAAGGTCGAAAGGTCAGTGATCTTTCGGGGGGGGGTCATGGGGATCATATATTGCAATATATTACAATATCATTCAATGTGCCCCCCCCCTCAGTTATAAGTTGGTTTATAAGTCCCAGTAACTATTGCTATAGCTGGAATTATAACTGGTTGGTGGTTTGGAACATGTTTTTTCCATAATATATGGGATAGTCCTTCCCATTGACTAATATTTTTCAAGATGGTTGAAACCACCAACCAGACAATATATTACAATATCATTGGTATATGATTGCTATATTATTATTATTATTGTCGTTAGATATCATAGAGATGAACATGGGGATTTCATGAACTATGAAATATGATAGAACTATGAAATCCCCATGAACCAATTGTTGATATTATATTCATTAATAATCCATAACTAAACACAGGATGGTGCCCACTAGTTATAAGATGTTATAAGTTGGTTTCTAGTCCCCATAACTAGTTCGTTATATCTACCATAAACCAAAGAATTCAGCCACATATATCTCAACTGAACGCTATCGAACGGGGCCCCATCCTGTAGAATGGGAATGCAATGGACATTTCATGGGAATGTACTGGCATATGATGGGATAGGGCGGATATTTCCCTTTGGTAGTATAACATGACTATGGAAAATGGATGAACATTGCCCATTTATATAGGTCGGTGCTGTTCCTGAAAAAATATGTGATTTTCCATAGCTATGTTAAGTATCGGGGTTTAAGCATCAAATATCTTGGGGATGTAATTCGGATATAAGATATACGTGTATATATATGTATATATAAGTTATATAAGTGCATCTTGTAAGTGGCAAAAACATTTCTGGCAAACAGCAGTGGCTGAATCATAATTCTTGTACTGGGTGGTGTTGTCATAAGTACTCAATGGTAGTCAGTGATAGGTACGCTAAATGGGAACCCCAACTTCCCATCATTGTTAGACACCCAAATGGTCAATGGTCAAAGTACATGGGAGGTGGATTTTTTACTAATACCCCCCTAGTGGATCATGATCAGATTTTTTTTCCATGGTCAAGATTTGGATTGATCATGATTACTCCGAGACGGAGGAGGATGATGATTAGGAATTTTCGCATTCACAGTTTGGGGGTTTGTCAAAACCTATTACCCTTTGGTAAACTAACATAGCTATAGAAAATGGTAATTTATAGTGGATTTTCCCATTGAAAATGGTGATTTTCCATAGTTTTTTGTAGGTTTACCAGAGGGTATGATCGACATTTTAGTGGGAATCACATCCATAAATCCCGGCTATTTTGATCTATGACTTGGGGTTCACTACTCTGTGCCCGGGTGCAGCAGTCCGACTGAAAAAGAACTATTGTATTTTAAAGGAAAGTGCTGCTTACAGGTTACAGTCTGCCTTGAAGACAAATTATTCCCTTAAATAAGAAACAATATTCTTGTAAGAAAACTATAAGTGTGGAAAGATGAACTACATCCTTTAATGGAGTTCAGCCTTTCTCTCATTTTGTTGTATGACCATTGTTTGATGAACGATTTACCTTCTTCAAAAGACAATAATTGCCTTGAAGGCAAGGTATCCCCTTCAATAAGTAACAGTATTCTTGCAGAAACATACAATATGTGGACAGATGTAATACATCCTTTAAAGAAGTTCAGCCTCCCTCTCATTTTTTCTGCATGACATTTGTTTTTACTGGAAAGGCGTCAATTCTTCAAAATATGTAATGCTAGCTGTCGTACTCAGATGTTTCACTCATATGGAAGAGCATATTGCATACATACATCCATGACCTGCTTCTTTCAAGAAAAAACACTACATACACCCAAGAAGAAAGTAAAGCCAAAAGCATCCAAAAACCAAACAAACTTTGAGTTTGTTGGTTTTTCTCGGGTTCAATCAAACCATTTTATCCCAAAAATCAAAAAAGTGAGCTTGGTGTTGTTTTTTAGATGTCAAGTTTCAAGAAAACAAAAACAACTCATGTAAACCAACAAAAATAAACGGACATGGGCTTCAGACCAAACATTCTCTGAAAAAAAATGGGGTCTTTTGGTTTTCTCGAGGTTTTGGTTGTAATTAATGCATATCCACATCCTTCAAGAGTAGTAGCAGTAGGTTCAGCAAGATATTGCATAATTACAAATTGGATTAGTAAGCAAAGCACACACTTGCAAGTATGCAGATTGAATCCACGTTTCTCTCAAAAAAAAGTAATATAGAAAAAACAATGCAAAAAAAATACAGTCTCTAAAGGCAAACATTGCTTGAAGACACTGCAACTACCGATAAAAAATGATGGAATTGCAGAAAGGTGGGTCTTGGGGGCAGTACCATATATATATATACACCTAAATCCATTGTTTCTGGCTTAGCTGGTACACACACACATATATATATATATACCGTATTATATTGCGTCAATGTTGATATTAGTCAATAATCGATTAACTAATCCATCATTTTACCATCATTAACTGTCAAATCATTGTATATACTAACCATTAACCATCATATACCCTCATTTTACCATCATTTTGCCATATATCCCATGAATTCCAGACATAATTTATAATTTGTGGCTCGGTCATGTGACTCGAAAACAGGTGGAGCGTGTAGCCGATGCCTTGAACAACCTCACCATGGCCTTAGAAGAGGCCAAGGTCATCGCTTCTTCCGAAGCTGGGGCGAAACGAGAATTCGTGGATAATCATGGGATATAATATCCACCAGTAAATTATCATAGACCCTGGCAGATAGGGGTTGGAAGACTAGTTTCCAGCAGAAAATGACTATGTTTGGGGTCTATGTTAATTTACCAGAGGGGTAGATGGGTTATTCCCATGGTTAGATAATAAGGCTTGCTAATACTATGATAATCATAATTATGAAGAACTGTTTTGTTTCAATGGTTAATTCCCATGGTAACTTTAGTTTCAATGGTTTAAGTATGTTTTATGGTAGGTATATATAACTATGGTTTTCCATGATAGACGGTTTAGTCTCAACCGAGGTTTTGGTTTCGACATTCGACATGGAGGATCCCCTATCCGAGAGTAACTGGTAAACGTAACTGTACTTAGTTCACACATTTAGATTACTGTAACTATACTTATATATAAGTGGATTATGGTAGATATAACTATATACTTAAATATGGTTTATGGTAGATATAAGTGGCTGAATTCTATGGTTTGCAAACTGGAAAATCAACATCTTTAATAGTTAAATCAATGATTTCTATGGGCCATTTTCAATAGGTAAATCAACTATTAATGGAATAACCCACAGGATGGGGCCCCCAGTCAACAGCGTTCAGTTGAGATATGGCTGTGGCTGAATTCTTTGGTTAATGGTAGATACAACTATAGTATTCATGGGGTTTATAGATTAACTATAGTAAGTAGGTTATAACCTTAGTTATAAGTGCATTAGCCCTACTTATCTCACTGAAATGACGAGGATATAACCTACTTCGCAACTGGGATGAGCCACCAAATATCAATGATGAATAAATCCCATTTTACTTCCATTCTTTAAGATAATTCAACAATGAACACCAATTTGGTTTCCACATGATGGTTTTCCTACAATGTGGTGCCCCCGTTTTCGATAGCTAAGTTGGATAACTCCAATTACTACGGTTTATTATACTTATAACTATAGCTAATGGAGTTTATAAACCAACTTATAACTGGGGGGCACCATCATGTAGTAAAATAGTGGGATATGATGGGATATACAAGGTGGTGCCCCAGTTCGTTAGCCAAGTTGGTGAACATAACTAGGCAAGGTAAGTATGGTCTATGGTAACTATAGTTAATGGTGGTTACAAAGCAACTTGCATAATTTGGGGGCACCAGTTTGTACTAAGCCCCAAGCCGCGAGAAATCGCGAAATCGCACTTCGCTACCGCTACCGGATGGTTTTTTGAAAATTTGATCCCCAGTTTGTTTCCAGGGCTCCGACTTTTGAGCATTCAGTTTAAGGGGATTACCCTCTGGTTATGTCAAAATAGCTATTGAAAATGGCCATAGAAATAGTGGATTTACCAATTAAAAATGATGATTTTCTATAGTTACGTTAGTTTACCAGAGGGTACCATAAGGGTTCTTATAGTTATGAGCCAGCTTGCCTATCGTGGATAAAAAAAGCAGAAACTGCTGTGGATTTTTCACCAGTCTCGATAGGTGAATCATCGAAGTAAATGGATCATTTTCCATAGCTATTTTGACATAACCAGAGAGTGTTTTTCCCGAACTAAAATGTTGGATTTACCACGCGAAAGAATTTGAATAAAACACATTTACATTTGCAACACATGTTGATTTGACCAGAAAAAAAAACATATTTTGTTGGGGCGTATGTGGATTTACCAGCCAAAAAAACGGGGGGGTGCTGCAAAAAAATGTGGGGAAATGGAGGATTTTGTTGGAGAATTGGGGCGGATATTATATGATATGATTGTTGGCAGATATGTGGATTTAATCCGAACAAATGCGGAATTTACTAAAACAAATGTTGCTGTTACTGGAACAACGATAAATGGTGTATACTTTTGCTGGAACAACAGCGGTTTTTCGCAAGCAGTACAACCTGGATCCAATTAATTATGACACACATGAATTGGACCAGAAGAAAATTGAGATGTAAATCCATATAAGGCTTGGTAACCGATTCATTTTTCTATGTTTGCTTACAAAGATTGGGCTTTAATGTGCAAAGCATATGGGTTTGCTGGAACAATTGTGTTGTTTTACAACTAAGAACAACTGGACATCAACCAAAACGAACAAACAAATGTAGGGATGCGACCAGAAAACATGCCTGGATTTCACCTTCACAAAAAAACTGTTTCACCAAAGAATATGACTTGAAACCAGATAGTATGTGTTGACTTGGTTTTGGTTTCATGTTGCTCTTTTGGGTTTCGTTTTTTTGCATTTTTTCTCTGAACCCAAAAAAGGGGCTCTTTTCGGGCCCAAATCAGCGAAGAACATGGCGGAGTCCAAAATCAGGCATCCAATGTTGGATGGTCAAAGTTGGTCCCTTATTTTAAGAATTCACCCTGATGTATGTATAAATATATCTGGTTGGTGGTTTCAACCATGAATTTTATTTTCCATAAATATATGGGATGTCATCCTTCCCATTGACGAACTCATATTTTTCAAGATGGGTAAAACCACCAACCAGATGTATATTCACGTCGCTTCGCGACGGCAACCGCCCGCACCGCATCGTTGGGCAGCCGCTCGTAACTGCCAATGATGTCGGCCATTGAGACCAAAATCATCCGAAAGTACTGATTGTCGGAAAAAAAAACGCGAAGAATTTGATAGCCATGTATAGCGGACCAACACAGTTCAAAAAATAACGAAAAACATGAAAAAACGGCGAAATTGCTGTTATTTACAGTGTTTTTGCGCGGTGAGAAGCAGAAACCACTGCAAATACCATGGTTTTTGAGGGTCAGGTGGCCAAAAACACTGTAATTTACAGTGTTTTTTTAACCAACGTCAAAAAACACTGGTATTTACGATGTTTTCATTCACACCGTAACATAAAACAGCGTAATTTACGAGGTTTTTGGAAGTTTTGAAGCTAGCCGTCAAGCATGCAGAAAACAGAAAAACACTGTAAAAACCAGTGTTTCTGCTATCACAAAACGACGAAAATCAGTCCGAAAACGGGTCCAAAAACTCAAAAATCCGCCTCCGGGCCCGGCCACCTGCGGAACCGCAAAAAAAGATGTTGCAAACCAAAAAATTGAGGTCAAAAAGTTGAAAAACACGGGGTTTTTTTCACTTTTCGCTTGCCGATTTTGGACGGGCGCGTTCACGAACAGGTGTCTTCCGTACTGTTTTTTACAGTGTTTTTTGAAGGCGAGCGTCACGACCTATCAAAAACAGGAGGTTTTGGCCGAAAAATGCCCCCCCCCCCCCAGGTAAACCTGTAACCTTTTTACGAGTGCCATCCGGAAGATCATGCCCCAGCACCTTCGGTGCGGGCGGATTTATACTTCTAATAGTTGCAACAATGATAGAATTATGTATGCTTACATATATCCGTATACACAATTACATATATATATATATATGTATGTACATAGACATATTCACATATATGTATGTACATACATACACATGTGACACATGTGTATAATATATATATATACACAATATATATATATATATATATACATAACATATACATACATATCGGCTTATTACACGGCACTTAAACAAACCACTTCCTAACTGAGATGCGCCTCCGTGACTGTAGTGACCGTGCCAAAATACTGAGGACAGACAAAAACGGCGTCAACGATTTGCACATCAAATGACGCTCTTTCAATCCTGCACCATGACTCTTGGAAAGGAAGGGATGATAGGGATGAAGACTGAGCCATGAACCAAACAGGAATAGTTTATAGATTTAATTGATTTTAATTGATTTAATCCTTAAACACAGGAATATGATGGAATATGTTGATAGTTTATTGGGGATAAAATTTTCTAGCAGGACTTTTTGATCCGCCATCAACCAGTTTTTTGATGCAGCCTGGGACTGGGACTTCTGGGGATGATCCTGGTGACTCTGCAAAGACTACCCGGCCTGGTAAACATACAAAAAACTATGGAACATCACCATGCTATTAATGGGAAAACATCCACTATTTCGACTGGGCCATGGCTTCAATAGCGAACTGTGACAAATTACCAGAGGGTAAATCCAGTTGGAGCGTTTTCCAATCTATCAAATGTGGTTACAAAGGAATGGTTCGGAGCCAGGGGTATTCACATTCTCCATCAAATGGAGAGCCAGTTGGACATGATTTTGCAGGGTCCATCCTCTAGTTGGTTCACCCTCCGGTCTGTTGGCCATCGCAACGGTGACCGCCACCATTTTAGATGATTTAGTAATGGGTCAATGGGTCCTTTATTCAAGGCAAAATAGAACATGATAGCTAGTAATATAGTATAAACATATAATATAATATAGCATGATACAATAGAAGTAATAGTACTACGTGTTTTCTCAACGTGGGAAACCCAGCAGATTTTTTCTTAAGGATACACCTGTTCGTCATTTTTTAAGGCCGTTAGATTAAAGTCATCAGATGTATTTCCTCAACGGGGCTTACATCAATGGCCATTTCAGGTTCCTAAAATGGTACCTACCATATATATATATATACATAAGGTCTATTTTTCAGGCATATGTACGGGAATATCCCCACAAAATATGGCCTGAAAAATGGTACTAACGTACCTCAATTTTAGGTACCGGAATGGGCCATTGATTACATGGGTTTACTGTATCGAGTATATCCGATCAGATATTTTGCGAGCATTACACGGGAATCTCTTCTGGTGATATCTGGTGATCATAAGTCCCCTTTCTTCATGCAGGATGGTGCCCCCCAGTGATGTGAACGTTGGTTTACAAACCCCATGAATACTATAGTTATAAGTATAATATTCCATAGTTATTGGAGTTATTAACCAAGTTTATAACCATAGGAATAGTATAGTTATATCTACCATAAACCAAAAGAATTCAGCCACAGCCATATCTCAACTGAACGCTGTTGAATGGGGGCCCCATCCTGTGGGGGTGGGGTCCTCCAAGTAGTGAAACCTCTGGACAGCTTGATTTTACTATCTAATAAATTGGGGATTGACTATCTCAATCCATTATGGATATATATTTAATTATATATAATGATATATATATAATATATTTACAGATGTTACAATATATATATAGATATAATATATAATATGTATGGGTCTATCATGCCTAAGATAAGATAAGATACAATAATATATTATATACATGTAGAATAATATATATAATAATATATATATATATACATACACATATTTATATTATATCACATATTATATTTTATAGCGTATAAAAACTACTAATAGCGTATATAATGCTACTAGTAGCGCATAGAGGTCACTCTGACCGTATTTGAGATACCTTACCTTGAGATATTACCTTGAGATACCTTCAGATACCAGCCATTCCAGCCCGGTAGCTTGAGATACTGAGATTCCAGCCCGGTAGCTTGAGATACTGAGATTCCAGCCCGGTAATATAATATATCTAATATAAGATAATATACTCCAATATAATATGATATAATCTAATTTAACATATATATAATATGTATATATATATATACAGTAATGCAATATAATATGTATATATATATATATTATATAATGTATTTGTATACTATATATGATATAGATAGTATATAATATAATAATATATATGTAGATATAACATTATTTTTTCCAACAATACAATATGATATTTATATCAATCATAAAATTTGATATAGTACAATAATAATAATAATATATATATATACATAATATATATACATAATATATATACATAATATATATACATAATATATATATATATACATATATTAATACATATATATATATATATGTAAATGTTTTAATATATAATCCAACATAATATAACATAATATAATCCAACATAATATTATATGATATCATATTATATGTATATATATATATATAAATATGTATTATATGTATGGGTCTTTCATGGTCTATCCAACCAGCACAAAAAACGCGTTCAGCGATTTTTGGATCTCGGGATGGGTCCCATCCCACATCTCCAGGAACTTCCCAGAGAACGGCGTGTTGCGAACCGCCTCGATCCATTGAGGCGGCCGCTAAAACAACGGTGTTTAGCCATGGAAAATGGTCCATTTATAGATGGTTTACCTATTAAAAATGGGTGGATCTTTCCATGGCCATGTTAAATAACCAGAGGGTAATTACCTATTATGTATATATATATATATAGATATATACGTTAATGAACTATTATCTATATAGTTAATGAAATAAATATGATGTAATTATATAGGTTATTATTATGTAATTAACTATTATCATTATTGGTGGGTTAAAACTATATATATATATACACGTGTTTCCTATATATATATATAATGTTTGAAAAAAGCCACCCAGATCTGGCAATGGAAAAAAGATCCCATGATGCCATGATTTTTTGCTAAATGACCATAATGACCCCAGTTTCCACAGAATCATATCCCATTGAAACCACATGACATCTACATTGTTCATGTTTTTAACCCCTATCTGGCAGTAATTGAACCTCAAACAAATAGAAAAGTGAAATCTCAATACAATATAGTGATTACCATGATTAGCCTCTGGTAAACTAACAGTTCGCTATTGAAAATGGCACATAGAAATAGTTGATTTACCTATTAAAGGTGGTGATTTTCCATAGCTATGTTAGTTTACCAGAGGGTAACCCCCCAAAAAATGATTCTAGTAAAAAAAAAGTACTTTACAGCAGGATGGTGCCCCTAAGTGATGTTTGTTGGTTTAGAAACCCCACTAACTATAGTTATATCTACCATAAACCATAAAATTCAGCCACTTATATCTCAACTTAGCCATCTTTGGGGCCCCATCCTGTAGTATGATTTACTTGTTTCTTTTTGGTGGCTGCAAGCAACTGGATGACTACTCAGCTACTGAATGGGGAGATAAACCGAACTGCATAGATGTCCTTTTCCCACTCCTTGGTTAATAGAGGGTTCCTCCCATGAAAGCCAACCAGTAGGTAGATGATACTAAATAATATACCAAATCGGCCCATCTAATTGTCCTAAAAAGGCCAATATTTCTGGTTATATATACTTATGGGAATATCATTGCGATATAGGGGGAATATCAGAATGGGAATATACTGGGAATGATGACAATATAGTAATATATAATGGGAACTGAACCAGCTAAGCAAGTGCAACAAAACATGATTGAGAAGTGAGGAAACGTGACTGAAAAGTATGAATAGCTGAGATTCGCCCTAATGCAGCTGAGAAATGATCCTATTCACAAGTGGCCTAGAGCTTCTAGCTTTTTATAATATGTGGATTTTATTCATATATGTATATATATATACATACGTAATATGTATATACGCAAGTGACGGTATTGCATTGTTCCTTTAGTTGTGTGTAGACAAATCATGTATGCATATTGTATATAGAAAAACAGCAGGTCTGCTTCGTGGCTCATCCCACTTAGTAAGTAGTTATATAACCCAACTTTTATATACCATTATCATTATATTCCCATTATAGTCCCATCATATTCATTAAAATTCCACTAAAATCCCCTTGAAATCCTATTAAAATCCCACCATTAAAAACCCTTATTAGATTCCCATGAAGTTCTAAAATATCCCATGAAATTCCCATTATGAAAGTGGTTACTACTTGGTGGCTCCTACGAATCGTAGGTTAGTTCACCCTATAAGTGGAGCCATTTCTTTCCCACTGAGTTAGTCACCATAAACTTTCCACCAGCCGTGGCTAAGCCGTGGCGCCACGGATCTGTGGGGCTGAATTCACTATGATTAGGTAGATGACTAACCGTCATATGGATGTAGCCTCTGGTTATGACTAACATTTATATAGGTTAGTAAACCATATAACGAATATTTTTTTATAAGGAAAATTGTCCAATATAATAACCATAGCTGTCATAAGCCATAGAAAATTATCATTATGAAAATAGGTAAACCAATGGTAAACCATCAAACTAAATGGGCTATCTATACCATGGCTATGTTAAATAACCAAATGGTAACCTATCTCTATGGAGAACATAACTAGGTCAACGAACTGGTTTTTGTTGATGTTTTTGACTGTTTATGGTAGATATAACGAACTAGTATGAACTAGGGGATTATATCTGGCTTAGTTCTATGGTTTATAGTAGATGTAACTACAGCTAATGGGGTTTATAAACAATCAAACATCACTGGGGGCGCACCATCGTGAATGGATATAACACATGATTGTTCATTGAATCGGGTTATCAACCAAGAATCTAATGATAACCCAGTTTTTGTTTGTTTAAATCAACCAACAACCAATCTAACCCGAAACAAATGCTGGTTGATTGTTCAGGTGCCCCATTCCAGCCCTGCTTAGCCAATGGTTTGATGGGGATCATAAATCCACTTCAACGGGCGCTAGAGCAACCAATCTTGGAGATCAAAATTCGTTCAAAGATTCGCTTAAACTTACTGGTGCGTTAAACACGTAGGGTTGCTGGATGGGTTGCTGGGGGTTGCTGGGGGTGGCTGGGATGATGACATCACTAGTGATGAAATGGATCATTCCCGAAAATTCCCTGCGTAAAACGCACCAGTAAATTTCACTGCGAAAATCATAGAATCGGAAAATGGGGATCTCAGCATATTGAAAGATAGGGAAACCATCCACTGGTGGATGTAGATGAGATGAGTCAAACTCCACCCATTCAGCATAAATTTAGTTTTCTTCAACAAAAACAAACCTTCCTCTAATATGAAACACCCTCATTGTATGGTCCCAGATGTGATGTCATCCCCTACCACCATCGTTTCTGGGAAGGTGTTCAAGATGCCTCACCTCAGATTCTGATTTCGCAGCTGACTCAAAATTGGGCAATTGGGAGATTTTGAAGGTCAGGGATCTTTGGCCGACATAAATGGTTTACCCGGTTGCGCCATGGTGGCGACAGAAATACCAGGTGAATGGTCGGTTCCAATTTGGGATTTTCATGCTGCTTGAAGTCAACTTTGCAGGGTAAAGGTAGCCATGCTAATTGAGAGATTTGATGATATTTGGGTTCCAGCTCCACAAAACAGGATTGAGCGGGGAATCCCACCCTTTGACGAGAGCAACAAAAACGACTCAACCACAAAAGCAAACATGCGAAAACGTGCGGGTTCACTGCTTTGAACAGTTTTTTTGGGGTGCAGGTTTCTTCAGTCGCCAGGGATCTCCAAACCGGTTTAAATTTTAAGGGTGGCACTTAAGGGTTCCGATGCACCAACGTTGCAGCGGTTGTGGACGTGGTTCCAACCGGGCACCCGTGCCCCACCACGGCTCTGAGATTTCTTATTCGAAATCTCAGGGAAGGTCCAAGCGGTGTGGCAAATATATGCAAATATGGGTTTTAAACAAAATTGGGAAGAGATTCATTTTATCTATAGTCTATAGCACAGGATATTAGCATGTATCACTTATCTGTGATTAGATGATCAGGTATAGATAAGTGGTACATGTGAAGATTTTGGTGAAGTCATTATGTACGTAATTAGCGATAAACTTGGCCATATGGGCGATTTGTGGCTGTTCTATGGTGGATGTATTATATTTACGTAGAGAACAGACATATGTTGCTTGAAATATTATATGTGATATATATATATAATAATAATAATAATAATATACATAATCATATCTACATAGATGCATACACGGAGAAGAGAGAGAGAGAGAGAGAGAATAAGAGAGATCACTCCAGTCAGACAGTTGGATGGATGAAAATCCACTAATTTATTGCATGGATGGTATTTTTGAAAGGCTTTCCCATTCTCAAGGACTTTGCCAGAACCACTTGAGATTCCCAAGAGTTGCTGCTCAGAGTTCATCTCTGGTGCACTTTGCGACTCGAAACTTTCGAATCGTTGCCATGATCGAAAAGTTTGAAACCCAGCAAGCTATGAGATTTATATCTTAGTCCCATGTCCTATCAGTCCTATCCCAAATTTGATATCTCAAAAACAGGAAGTGATGCTTCAACTTCCTAAGCTACATTTAACATCATTGAACTAATCCCAAGCATTTGACGAATCCCATGCCCCTGTCCTAACTTAATATTTCCCAGAAACCTCGGCAGTTCCCACCAAAAAGTGGGTTACACCCAACTCATGGAGGTTGTTACTATATTTATACCAATGTGAAACTCACCCTTGGCCTGCAACCCAAAGTAAGTCTGTTGGTCGATCTCGGCCCCAAATGCTGATATCTGGGTTTTCCTTTTGGACATTTTTCGGTTTTTTTTTTTGCATTTTGGGTGCTTCTTGCCTAACATCGCCTGGCCATCGCTGAACCTCTAACCTCAAGATCCCTGGGAGCAGCGCTCTTGCACAATTGAGGCGCCACTGGTCGGTCGTTTTTCCTGGAATGTTGATTTCAACCTTTGGGTTGCAGCTTCCAACCTTTCTTCGCGAGTTTTTTTTGGGGAGGGTGGGGAAGGGTGGATTCTTGTCGTTGAAGAGTTTTGCTAGTTGTTTGTGCAGGGCCATCCCTGCCACTGTCAAATATTTTGCCGGCTACTCAGCTTGTGCGGCTGCCGTGGCTCCCCCAGCTCCTGCGGCAGCTCCTGCAGTTCTTGGCAAGAGATGCAAATGATAGGTGGATTTGGCAAAAAACAGTTTTTTTGAGAAACAGTCCACACATTACAGCATTCCACCTCAGTATTTCCGTAAAACTCATATTACAACAGACCTACATTATTCTTTATCGATGTTTACCCTTGCTCACACTTCAATAACGTTTCATCATTCTATCCAACGTTTACACTGTATTACTCGTTATTTGATTTGTTGTGGACAAAAGTCAATCCCGCATGTTAGTGTCAGTTCTTTTGGTTGTGTCTCCAAACCATAAGTTTTTTTCAATATATGGCATCCAATTCTCGTTAAACACGCGTATTTAACGTTGTCAATGTCGTTTACATTTGTTAATCTAGGCATGGTATTGATCAGAACATGTTAGCTAACACTCATCAATAGTCCTTTGTCTTGCACACTTAAACGAAAGCAAAATCACTATCAAAAAGAACGTCTTGCATTTTGCCTTCATGCATCTATTTCCTTGGGTCCTTGGGTGCCCAAATCCATTGCTGCAAAGCAGGGAGCTTGCTGCAATGCAGTCAAGCACTAGCAGTTGATGTGCTCATCCATCCAAAGCATGAGTGTAGGAGGCCCCGCGCCTCCATTTACTTTGTTTGGTGCCAAATTGGCAGAGCAGAGTTTTTTTTTTTACCATATGTTGCAACATAGTATCAATTAAAACAGCAGAAGTCTTCGATATGGGAAAGTAGTGTAATTGTTTTTGTAACATTCAAATTATTGATTTTTCCTGTTGAACTGCTGCATCCAGGCACGCTGTCTTGCTAGTAGTTTGATCTTTGGATCCTATACAAGCTCTGGAAGCAAAAAGCAAATGCTGTGCGGGACATCGTCATGTGGCATTCATTGGTGAACTTCCAGAAGGTGTGGCTCTGGAGTTGGGGGTTGATATGATGAGATGTTGCACCAGTTGTAGTTGACCACATGGAATTTTAGGAGGATCCCCTTATATTTTTCGGGACCATTGAGTTGCTAACCTAGACATCTAGAGCGTGTACAGATACCAACATGCCCAACACAATTTGAACATGGGCTAGTTAATCGCTTGGTTCATCAGTTTTTGGGACCTGTCATGTCATTAATTGTGCTTGTTGGCTCATAGGGAGTCCCAGCATGGGTTATGATAGTCCCTGAGTGTCCCTGACATGTTGGACAGAATAACCCCCTACAATCATCAACCCTGCCACAGGTTTAGCAAGGTGTAGCAGCCACTACCCAATGCTCCAAAATTTACCACATGGAACAGTTGCACACCTCAGGGGCATCACCTGAGACATCCAACATTACAAAAAACATTGTAAGGTTCTACCTTCTCTAACTTGATGCACGCGCAGGGCAGAATTGGGAATATACAAGTAACATGTTTCTTGCAAGTAGCATATGATTGGTAATAGGCTGTTATATCTCCCAAATGACGTCACGACCGCAAATGCTAACTTGATGTAATTTGGCTTTACTGCAGCCTAACCTAACAGCATCAATTGCTGCCAGCATGACTCACAGGACGTCATTTGCCAATTTTCACCAGAGGAAGGCTACCACAATAGTTTCGATTGTTCAATTATTTTGTTTCTTTCTATAGGTTTCGTAGTTTTTTTTTGGTTTTAACCTGCGAAAACACAACCTTTGGTAATCAATTGTGGCAATCGACAAGCCTCTACGAATGGAGGATTTTACAATGGGGAAATCATCTACACATGGGCAATTTTCCAGAGTTATGTTAAGATGCGGGAACATCAGTGCCAGCTAACTTTTGATGACCAACCAGTTCCAAATTTTCGAAATTTGTTGTCAGGACTTATCCACTGCCAAGAAGCAATGGATCTTGAGCCCCTAAGTTTCTTAGCAACCCAGGAGATTTTTTCTGTGCCCTGACCTGGCTCATTTTGGTTACAAAAAATCATGAAACAGTAACTTAACAACTGGGAATGATTAAGAATTGTCCATGGCCATGGAAAATCACCATGTTTATCCATGTTTAATAGTTAAATCATCGAACCAACTGGGCCAAAAGAAACATGGCCAACTGTTAGATTACCGGCAGATAACAACTGAACATGGTTACACAATGAACTGTTGTTTGGTCATGTTCTTCCTGTGAACATGTTCATGTTTGCCATTCGATCATGGATCAGATGCGGGATAAACCGAACCGATTCCGAATCCTTCGAAATTTGCGCGGCTTCCAGATCAACAGCACGCTCCCACGTACAGAAACGACTGAAAACCATGTTTTTTTGTTTCATTTTTGGGGGGTTGATATATCTTGATATGAGGGGTATGTATGGGGTATGTCATGTTAAACTTGTCTGATCGGGAACTCAGCTATACTGGTTCCGGATATTTTCCTATATGTTCCTACATTTTCTCACATGTTCCTATAGTTTCCTATATTTTCCCAGTTGAGAAACCCATATTTTATGTTGGATGGGCCATTCAGTTTTTTCTTCAGCCCAACATCCATGGTCACCACCATCCGCCCCCCTGCATCTCGTCCTTCTCTGATTGGATGTGGAAAACCCCATGGGGAAATCCAATCGGAAAATGATCTGCAAATGTGGATGTTCCACATCGATGTTAGTTTACAGGAGGGTACACATAAAACTATATATCATTTATACATGTGCTCAAAAAAAGATATTAAACTATCAAATTGGGGACCTATAATTGATATAACCATCGAGGCTGGGTGATCGGTTAAGGTTCATTTTTTTTTCGGACCTCACGGCGTGACGTCGGAACGGAATTTACAGGAATTGCATTGAGGTATCTCTCCCTCTTTGTGGCCAACGTTTCACGTGGACAACCGTATGGAGGCTACATGAAACAAATGTTATAAACTCGAATGGTCAACACCACTGATATGTTGAACTGGGACAACCTTGCTTTGGTAAGTTGGTGATTTTCTGGTCATACCCTCTGGTAAACTAACAGTTTGCTATTGAAAATGGCCATAGAAATAGTTGATTTTCCCATTAAAAATTGGGATTTTCCATGGATATGTTAGTTTACCAGAGGGTAGTCATGGAATAACATTGGGCCATTGGCAACACAACTTGGGCAGGGCCCAAAATGGTGATATTCCGGTCGGTTCATCAAATTTATCTTTGCATTGGATATGCGAAACCCAGCGAAATACCCTTTGGTAATCTAACATAGCTCTGGAACATGGACGCTTTATAGATGATTTACCATGATTTAGCTATAAAAGTTGCGATTTTCAAAAGGTTTGTTAGTTTACCAAATGGTACATTCTTTCTCTTGCAGTGTGTCCGAATAGGGGTGCATCCACACTCCAATGGTG